ATCTCATTGGGGAGGTGGAAGAGTGGTCGAGCGAAACGAATTGAAAAAAATAGTTTAGGTATGTGGTATGGTTAGATAAATGGGAGTCTATACCAAACGAGAAGATCAAAACATCTCGAGATTTATACTACTGAACCAAATCAAACCATTATTAACGATATACCGTCTACGAGGTCCGATTTTATTCACGTTTTTCAAGCAATCCAGACGGATTTTCCCAACCCTACACATATGCATTCATCCATTACCACAAAAATTCGCCATGTACTAGAGTTACTACCACAATAAGTTAGATTCATCGAGATTTTTTATAGGATGGAACCTTTGGGTTTCCCTAGTTAGTAACTCCACACAACTGTGTTCCACTAAGTACAGTAATGCGATAATTGTTAGCATTATTGAGTATTGAGTCGTTTCTCATGGTTCTTTTCCGGCAGCTTGAGAGAATCGCGGCAGGGAAAATTCTTGTACCAGAAACGACGAGATTGCGTATATGCTGCAGAAAATGATAATAACCATTCTTGTTTTCACTTTGGTTCGAAAGATAATACTCATATTATAGGTGCACCAAAGAGTTCACGGGCTAGTTATGCGGCCATAACAATTCGTGGCGCATTCAAGCCTATTCAAGATATATAGTGAAGGTCATTGATTATCAAGTGCTTGAGTCCATTAATGTGTTATTGTTCTATTAAGATTAACATGTTTATGGTAGGAGACTCTTTGGTATGTGCTATCGCGTCTTGACCTAACCTGACATGTGTGTGGCATATTGGGTAATCGAGCAATCTTTCGAACTCTTATCCTTGACTAATCAACCAGCGGGAAAGGGATAGCGTAAATGATTGAACCCGAGCCTTGGATTATAGCATTGCCATGGGAGCGAAGGAAGAGGGTTAGACTCGTGACGTTATGTAGGCTTGGATTGACGAGTTCGGGTTAAGAAATCAAAACCGATCTTCGTGTATAAGGGTTCATTGGGAACATCACGCTCACAACTCCCTTCATTAACCCCAAGGTTTTTTTCTTCTTCTTTTGTCAATCTCAATGCTTAACCATATCAATATGTCAACATACTCAGACGGATTGAAAAAGTTCGCATACAAACCCTACAACCAAGTTACCGAGTGGGTTTGAGAATGACATAAAAGTGATTTTGAGATGATCCGAACTGGAAGCTTGTCAACTACTAAGTTTAATTTTGATTGCATATGAGTTACAACGAGCAGTCTGTATCAGCAAAGTCAAGTTACACGGCCGTACTTCTCGTTAATCTTTAACGAGTAAACACGCTAATCCGAACACTTTGATCTGGAAACCCTCGAAGAGTAATATCAAGGGTTTGTTGAGCATATCAAAATTTGGTGAGCATTTGGTATTTGTGACATGAAGAAGTAGTGACCATTTATGCAATTAAACATCAAATGAGAAAACAACAAATCGAAATGGATGATGGGTTTCTTTGTCGGGTGGGGAAAAGGGTGAAAGGTCTGAAAAGGAAGTCTGTCGAGGGCCAATGGTTCTTCATGTGGGCTTTGGTCAGTTAACCTTGACATTATTCGGCCATGGCACATGAAGTGCTATGCAACTATGCAAGTGTGCATACAATGAACCGCGTATATGGTTAAGCGTTGGAAATGGATCCCTCGTTCTGGCCGTGAAGATGCTATTCTCGTTTTAGATCGAATTATTATGATTTATCACGTTCGTTTTGAATTTACTCTCTTCTAATCGTAATCTTGTTCTGAACATTGTATCTCCTCTCTTGTAATGTCGTTCTACCGAATGCTAAAGAAGCTCTAACCTTTTTGCTACTCTCGTTTTAGATCGGATTATTATGATTTATCACGTTCGTTTCGAATGTACTCTCTTCTAATCGTAATCTTGTTCTGAACATTGTATCTCCTCTCTTGTAATCTCGTTCTACCAAATGCTAAAGACGCTCTAACCTGTATGCATTAAATCTCGTTCCCATTTAGAGGTTGAGATGAATGAAATCTACCAATACCATTGTAGAAACGAGGAAACTTACCATTGACAATCACATTTAAGGATACAATCATACAAACTTCCAAAGGTTGTATTACACATAAGCCCACGAGGAGAGAACTATGGGCTTCTGCACGTTTGGCCCAATCCTTGGTTTTATCTTTTTATTGGGCTTAGGCCTTTTAACTTCACTTGCGTACCTCATGCACTGGCCCAGTATTCCTTTCCCGCGCGAAAGAAATATATAAGATGTTTAAAAAATAAACGACGCCGTTGCCGGGGATCGAACCCGGGTCACCCGCGTGACAGGCGGGAATACTTACCACTATACTACAACGACATTATTGTTCATAAATTGAAAGTAACCATTTTATTACACATCTAATAAACTAAGACGAAATTGTTAATGCCGCCCATAATTTGAAATTATTTAATCTCTTTCCACTCCTACTCAACATTGGTTAGTTTCTCATTCATTGCTTTTGATAAAACACGACTGTATTAAGCTTTAAGTACGACTTCCTATCTACAATTTATCCTTTTCACTCAAATCGATTGTATTATTTATTGTTTGTAGTTGTGTCTCGTTGATTTATGATGCACTTTTCATCATGATAATCCATCGCCAGATAATTTAATAAGCTTTCATAAATCGAAACATGCATGCCTTCTTGAAGTTGTGGAATCGAAATTGGACATGCCTTTCTTTGCATAGTGACAACTCGCATCCTAGTCATCCATGCACCATTATGATTCAAGGGTTTTGAGGAGGGAAAGGGAAAATAAGATTATTTGTAGACTACTACAACTCACATGAATGCTACTTGCATGGAGAATGGGACACGAACATGGAATTAAAGGGGAGTGATCACAACTAGCGTTTTAGTTTCCTCCATTAGCTTCCTCTCCCCAAACCCAAAGTGATTGAAGTTCATCAATTGATTTAAAAGAATGGAAGAGCATGGGCTAGAAAGTGGTGGGTGGGCGTGTGGTTGGAGTGAATTAATTTCATTTATGGATGCCAACAAACTACTAGATTGAATCGTTTTGAAAGCTCGAGAAGACCAATCCAACAAGCCCATAACAATCATAATATCTCGTACCCCACTAAATGAAGAGGTGTGTGGTTGTGAAAGAAGCCGGTTAATAAATATCATTGGTTTGTGATACTCAGAGTTCAAGAAATATGTAATTTCGCATATGTTTAGACAGAAAATTAGATGTTCATAATGTTTATGGAACACCTAAGTGAGTACAATTAATAAGTTTTAGGTGTGATCAATCGAATTTAGACACGTTTACAAGCCAACATCTCGAGGTTGTTATTCTCCTAAGTACTTATGCAACTGAAGAACAAGGATTCCTTTTTTTAGGGAAGGAAGTGATCATAGTATGTATGTGTTTAGGGATGAGCTAGGTTGAGGAAGAAGATGGTGCAACATTAAGTCGTGTTACAAATTCAATGTGAGTATCTTGACCTTGATAAGAGTGTCAGAGTGAGAGAGTTCCATGATGAAGAATTCAAAGTTTAAAGAGAAGTATGAGGAGGAGATTGCTTTTGAGGATGATAAAGATGAAGTGGTGGCTCTACGAACCTATCTGGATGATGATGAATGAACTAGTTTGTAAGTGCATTTTGTTTTATCGTTCCTATGAACTTGTTGTTTATGTAAACTTTGTGTTTTAATACTTGTGTTTCAAAATTTATATGAAGTTGTGATTCTATAAACTCGTGATTTTAGAAATCATGACATATTTTGATTGTTGTTGAGGGTTGGCTGAATTATAAATTAATTATTTGAAGTCAAACCTAAGCAAAAGTGCTATAAGATTGTTATTTTTACTAAAAATTGTTATTTTCGTTTAAAACCCTTAAGCTCCGCGTAGGTATTGCCTAAGCGTTCTAAGCATTAGACAGGACCCCAATGCCGGTCTAATGCCTTCTTGAACTTTGGTGCTAGTAGAGGAAGTTTTGATAGAAATTAGAAATAGTTTAATTCCACTTTGATTATTTAGGTTTTTGTGCTCGATATGTTGATAGGAAAAACAGTAAGGTAACTCATTTAGTGGCTAAAAATATATTTTCTTTATTTCTGGTTTAGGAAACATATTATAATTTAATGATTGATTTCATCATACAATTTGTATCTCTATTGTCTTGATAATTCACGTAATTTTTCGAAGGAAAAAAAGAGAGGTATGTGTTTGTTAAAGTAACGGTCAATATGAAGGAGGTTGGTGGGAAGTGGGTGTTGATTTTTGCTGGCTTTGTTGTTATTTGTTGCATGAAAATCACATTTAATTCTCTCCCTCCAATTTCACCAAACCCCTCCTGGCGCTCTCAACCGTCACCTTTGTTTCACTAAACTAAATAAATTATTTGGTAGCACGGATAAAATTCGAACAGAATGTTATGGATAGTTGACGAGATAACATTTTTCTTATTCAATTTGGATTCGTCCAATTATACATGCAAATACAATATTTTGTTTAAATTGTAGTAAAATCTACAAAATGTGCTTTTTGACGTTTATTATATATTTTCAATCTGGTTATCAAAGTTGTTTTAGACGTTTGTCTTTGGTGTTGCCATATTAAGAAATCTGGATGAACTATCGATATATATGAATGCATTGAATATTTTGATTTTATCCTAACGAACATGATGCAGGTCATAATTCATGGTTATTTTTTTTTTTCTCCTATCTTCACCATCCTCCTCGTGTTGTACATACCGATCATGGTTTTATGCTTATGTATGTTAACATAAAAAATTGATTGTGGTGTGGATCATCAAATATTGAAATGTATACTTCATAAGAGAGATTTTGGTTCTAGTCACGAAACAAAATTGGAATGTAATTGTTATGAGATTGTTTTTTTCTTACTCGTTTACAAATTACAAAGTAGGAATATCAACAAAAATGACACAATTTCATTAAGGCAAACCTAAAATTGAGAGCTAATTAATCTAGTAGGTGCCGAAAGTGGAAAAAAAATACAGAAAGCAATAAAAACATTGCACTGGCAGAGGTGACTCTCTGCTCTGACACTCTACAGCGCTACCACTCAGTCACTCACCACCCACCATCTATTTAACCGAGGAGAAGAAAGATCAAAGAAGAAGAAGAAGAAGAAGAAGAAGCAACCGACGCTCTCTTTCAATTCCCAACTTCGGATAACTCGAGGGAGAAAATGGCGAAATCACCGGAGACAGAGCACCCACAGAAGGCATTCGGCTGGGCCGCCAGAGACAGCTCCGGCGTCCTCTCGCCCTTCAATTTCTCCCGCAGGTCTCCTTTTGTCTCCCTCTGTTTCTCATTTCTGCATTTGTTTATTAACCCACCTTAAACAAATATTATGTGTGTTTAGGAACTTGTTAAGTGGTCAAAAGGGGGGAGATGTGCTAGTGATGTAGTGATGTTAACACTGAACAGTTTGGTGGTCAAAGATTTGGGCACAACTAACAACGATTGTGTGAAGCTTTCTTTCTTTTGGATCATATAATGTGGCTAGCTAATCAAAACAAAAAGTAGGGTGAGAGTAGATTATAATAATCAAGGATCTGAACTTCTTGGACCAGGCACTTTTCTGAGGAAAGCTCCAATTTGGATCAAAGTTTTCCACTTTGTGCTTGTTTTGTTTCGTCATTTCTATGGGTTTGGTTTACTCCAGATGTATATAGATTGTGTAGCTCTCCTCCACTTTGGAACTTATTTAAGGTTAGGAATCGGTTAGGTAATCCTTAATCCTCTTGTGGGTATCAAAAGAATGAGTCTTTTCTCAAAGGGTAGTTCTTAATTTGTTGTGACAGCTTAATTTGATCTTGGACCACATACTAATCACTATCTTGAGTTGTTGTTTTTTTTTTTTTTTTTTTTTAGGAAAGCTCCAATTTGGATCAAAGCTATCGACTTTGTGCTTGTTTGTTTTGTCATTTCTGGGTTTGGTTTACCCTAGATGTATATTGATTCTGTTGCTCTCCTACCATTTGGATCTTATCAAGGTTAGCAATCAGTTAGGTTATCCTAATCCTCTTCTGGGTATTAAAAAATGAGTCTTTTCTCAATGGGCAGTCCTTAATTTGTTGTGACAGCTCAGTTTGTGGGTCCTTTTGTTGTTTTAGAAATGGGGTTGCCATTGTGTCTTAATTCTTAATTTGGTGGCTTCACTGTGGGTAAACTAAATAGAAATGGTGCTTGCTTGTTTTCAATGTTAATGTAGCCAAGGCAGGGAATCCAGGCATCCAGCTAACAAGGCCAAAACTTTGTTCCATTTAGAAATATTGTCTTGAGAATGGGTTGAATGAATTCTTCTAGGATTTATCACTTTCTGCTCTAAGAAAGCTTTGATGCTGGTTGTTTGACTGTTGTATATAAGACTGTTTTGTTTGTAACTTTGGAACAGGGAAAATGGAGATGAAGATGTGACCATAAAGATCCATTTCTGTGGGATCTGCCACTCTGACTTGCATGCCATCAAGAATGAGTGGGGCTTTGCTCATTACCCCATGGTTCCAGGGTAAATATAAAATCTCTGATCTGTAAACCTTTGGGTTAAATGCCATTGTTTCACCTGAAATTGAGGCAACTGAAGTATTAAACTCGTCTTAATAAGTTATATCATTGGCATTGTCTGTGTCCCAAGTCTTACTTTGTGGTAATGTAGCTGATATCATCAACATAACAACGTAAGTAGACAAGAACAAACTTACTACTGCTTGATCCGTCTCAATACCAAGCCAGTGCCCAATGTAATGCATTTAAGTGAGGTTGACCATCAAATTGATATTAAGTTGTTAAGCCATTTCCTTTGTCTTGAGATCAATCACTCTGCCCTCTTCGCTCCTGAAACTATGGATTCCTCCCATCATCGCAGGCACGAGATCGTTGGCATTGTGATGAAATCGGGTAAAAACGTTGAGAAGTTCAGAGAGGGGGATCGAGTGGGAGTTGGAGTGATGGTGGGATCATGCATGTCATGCGATTACTGCAACCAGGACCTGGAGAACTACTGCCCAAAAATGATATTCACCTACAACTCCGTCTACCATGATGGAACTGCAAACTATGGTGGATATTCTGATATGATCGTCGTTGATCAGCACTTCGTGGTCCGCATTCCTGACGCCATGCCATTCGATGCTGGGGCTCCATTGCTGTGTGCTGGAGTGACTGTGTACAGCCCCATGAAGTACTATGGAATGACTGAGCCAGGGAAGCACTTGGGAATTGTTGGGCTCGGCGGGCTTGGCCATGTTGCTGTGAAGATTGCCAAAGCTTTTGGGTTGAAAGTTACTGTGATTAGTCACTCGCCGGGGAAGGAGACTGAGGCTGTTGATAGGTTGGGAGCTGATGGGTTCCTTGTCAGCAGTGATCCTCTCAAAATCAAGGTATGTGGGAAATTTTTGGAAACTGCTATTTCGAGTTATGTATTCTAAGAATGAATGCATTTGAGGTAATAGGTCACATCTTGCTATGAATCCATGCTTTCTAAATATATATATACAGTCTAAGAATCACAAGTTTCAGCTGATTCATTAGCTGTTCTGGATTACTCCATGCTAATCCTGTGTGGACTATGTGTTTGCTTATATGAAAGAATGTTGCATTGAATCTTTCCGCAGGCTGCTTTTGGTAGCATGGATTACATAATCGACACAGTCTCATCAGTTCATGCACTGACACCACTCCTAGCCCTTCTGAAGCCTAATGGGAAGCTGATCACTCTAGGCTTGCCTGACAAGCCCCTTGAGCTTCCCATCTTCCCTCTAGTTCTAGGTACAATAACTTAAAACGATTGCGATTTCTGTTACTGATCACGAATAGCTTATACAAAGCATAGAGATAGAGTTTCATTATAAGTGACTGACTATGATTCTTGCTTTGGTTTGGTAACAGGTCGAAAGCTGGTGGGAGGGAGCGACATTGGAGGGATGAAGGAGACGCAGGAGATGCTCGACTTCTGCGCCAAGCACAACATCACTGCAGACGTGGAGGTAATTCCCATGGATCAAGTCAATGTCGCCATGGCGAGGCTTGCTAAGTCGGATGTCAGATACCGATTTGTAATCGATGTTGCCAACTCCTTGTCGAAATGACTCAGCTGTGATTCAAAGATGTGATGAATGATCACCGTATGAACCCTTTTGGTGGCAGGGCAAACTATCTTTAAACTAAAGCTTTTCCTTTTAGCTGGTTCTTGTGGTTTTGAGTCTGATAATGTATTGGATATTTGAATTCATAATTGACTCTATTATGTTTTAGAGTCTGAACTATATCCGGCATATGAAGAAAAGGCTAATCTTTTAGAGTTGCTTTCATATTTAAGAATCCATGACCCAACCAAACAATTGAGCTCCAAAAGCCTCTTGGAATGGCCATGGCCCATGGCATACAAGCGGTGAAGTCACTCATAGAGTCATACATAACAACAATATGAGTTCCATAGCGAGCTAAACAATCGGTTAGGAAATTAGTTTTTATAGACGGTAAAAAAATATGAATCACATGCTCCAGATGTAAGAGAACTCGAAATGCTAATACTAGCATGCTGTTGATGAGGGTTTAGGTTTCAGATGAAGTGCTACACCGATCTTCGAAGTGAGCGTTAGCTGAACTTATCTTTGTAGGATATCCCAATCTAATCAAGATCCTTGAATTTCCCCAAATCTATATACGAGTAAAAGTACATTTCTCCATGTTCATCATGTAAACCCCTCAATAAGTGATCATGTTCGTCTCCAAACATCCCTCCTACAATAATAACCCCTAAATCTCGTAGGAACGAGCCATTAGAATTCACAATTATCCACTCTATCAAGGCTGATTTTCACCCTACGACCACGCCTCGACGCAATCCCTTCCACCCAATAAAATGATTTGTCCACTACTTTACTACTTTCTGCAATGACCTAGGAAATTAAATGGTGGCATCTATGGCCTTCAAAAAAAAAATTTGTTTTGGTAAGAACCTTCAAAATTATTTGAAGATGAATACACCAAGCATATGAACTAGAATAAAAATGGGCTCAATATAAATTTCAAGCCCGCGAGAGACATAGCCAAAAGCCCAATACTCACCGGACAGCGCGCAGAAAAAAAGCGCCAAGTTTTTCCCGCCCGAGACGCCAGTCGCCGGCGATTAGAAATCAGAGAAGAAGAAAAGGAGGAGGAAAAGGGGGGAAATATTGAGCGCCTCCGATCTGGCGATCTTCCGACGAAAATATTTCAAGACCCTGCAAAATCCAACGGCCGGGAAGTCCGAGACGCCCGCACAACGAGGTAACGCTTCTCCGCCTCTGTACACTACTTTGAAAAATAAGTAAGCTGCCAAAAGAGAGAAACAGAAAGCAAGAAAGACGTTTCACTTGAGCTGGCTCTGTTTCTGACACAGTGACACTCTGCATCCTCGCCACTCCGCCACTCTCTACCGTTTCCTGTCATCTATTTAATCACATACGAAGGAGAAGGAGAGGAAATAATAAGAAATCGACTCTCTCTCTCTCTCTCTCAATTTCGGATATCCCGAGGGAGGAAAAAGAAAGAAAACAAGGCGCTCCCCTGCAGCAATGGCCAAGTCGCCGGAAACAGAGCACCCACAGAGGGCATTTGGCTGGGCCGCCAGAGACCCCTCCGGCGTCCTCTCTCCCTTCAATTTCTCCCGCAGGTCTCATTAGGCAAATATCTATGCATGCATTTCTTTAGGAACTGGTTAAAGCGGTACAAACGGGGAGATGTTAAACAAGGATCTGAATTTCTTGATCCTCTTCTGGGTATCAAAAGAACGAGTCTTTTCTTGATGGGTACTTCTTAATTTGTTGCGACTGCATGGTTGAAAATGGATTCTTGTTAATGGATTCTTCTTGGGTGTTTGTTTCATCGTGGTATAAATCCTTCTCTGTTGGTTTGTATCTTTGGCACAGGGAAAATGGAGATGAAGATGTGACCATAAAGATCCATTTCTGTGGGATCTGCCACTCTGACTTGCACTCCATCAAGAACGAATGGGGAATTGCTCGTTACCCCATAGTTCCAGGGTAAAATCTATAATCTCTAATTTGTAATTTTGTACCCCTAGTCTTATAGCTTGTCGTAATCTGTACTCTGTCACTGTGTGAGCGTCGATAATTCGAGTTGTTGGAATAAATTAGAGGTTTATATATAGATGTTAACCACTTTCTTACACATTGCAGGCACGAGATCGTCGGGATTGTGACGAAATCCGGCACGAACGTTTCGAAATTCAAAGAGGGCGACCGAGTAGGTGTCGGAGTGATGGTGGGATCGTGCAGGTCATGTGACTACTGCAACCAGCAACTGGAGAACTACTGCCCAAAAATGACATTCACCTACGGCTCCATCGACCGTGACGGAACTCCAACTTACGGCGGATACTCCGACATCGTCGTCGTCGACCAGCATTTTGTTGTCCGGTTTCCTGACTCCATGCCGTTCGATGCTGGCGCTCCATTGCTCTGTGCCGGAGTGACTGTGTACAGTCCGATGAAGTACTATGGAATGGCGGATGGGCCTGCAGGGAAGCACCTGGGAGTTGTTGGGCTTGGTGGGCTGGGCCATGTCGCTGTGAAGATTGGGAAAGCATTTGGGTTGAAGGTTACTGTGATTAGCCACTCGCCGGGGAAGGAGGGTGAGGCTGTTGGGAGGTTGGGTGCTGATGGGTTTGTCGTCAGCAGTGATCCTCTCCAAATCAAGGTAATGTGGGAAACATTGGTTTGGACGATGGACTTATGAAATGATGCATTTTGTGTTAACTGAGCCAAATTACTTCATCCATACGATTGTTTAGGATGTCAGTTTCGAAAAGCTGCTTTGTGCGAATAATGTATTATTAGAAGGCATGTATTTGAGGAATTTGTGCTTTCAACCGATTCGTTAGGTGTTTTGGATTACTCCAAGCTAATTCTGAGTGGATTAGGTTTTTGCTTATATGAAAACTGTCGCATTGTTTCTTTTCGCAGGCTGCTGTGGGAAGCATGGATTACATAATCGATACAGTCTCGGCTGTTCATGTGCTGACACCACTCTTGGCTCTTTTGAAGACTAATGGGAAGCTGATCACTCTAGGTTTGCCTGACAAGCCTCTCGAGCTCCCCATCGCCCCTCTAGTTCTAGGTACATATCAAAACGCATTATTAACAATCATGTCGTCTTGAAACAAAAGGATTTGATAGCGTGTACAAGTTTTGAAATCGTGATTATGATGTTGTTAATTATATCACACTGATGGTCTACATAGGTCGAAAGCTGGTGGGAGGGAGCGACATAGGAGGGATGAAGGAGACCCAGGAGATGCTCGACTTCTGTGCCAAGCACAACATCACGGCGGATGTCGAGGTGATCCCCATGAATCAAGTCAATGTCGCCATGGCGAGGCTTGCTAAGTCGGATGTCAGATACCGGTTTGTGATTGACGTCGCCAACTCTTTATCGAAATAACTCAATCGTTGTTCAAAAGTTACGATGAAACGATCATCATATGAACCCTTTTGGTGGTCAAGCTAGCCAACTCTCTTTAAACTAATAAGGCTTTTCCTTTTAGCTTGTTCTTGTGCTTTGAATGTGTTGGATATTTGGGTTCACATTTGACTATGGAAGTTTTATGGAAGAAGTTTGAACTATTTCCGGTTCATGCCAAAAAGGATATCTCTTAGAGTTGGTATCGTTATTAAAAACCTTTTGGAATGGCCATGGCCACTTCAGTTAACCTTAATTAAGAAGTGAAACATTAATCGCTCCATTATCCTCCCTCAAAGAGGCTCTTCGAGTACTCCCACCCATTTAGCGACGAATCTCGCAACCATATATAACCAGCCGTTCCAAATCTCTCAAGTCATCATGCATTTACAAAAAGAAATGGCTTCTAACCTCAGAGGCAGAGCCACTGGATTGTTTCTACTGGGAATGCTGGCGTTCGCAGCGGTGGCGGCGGAAGGGCGGCGGCTGGAGGAGAAGGCTGCGGCGGGGTTGGCGGATTGCTGGGGAGCGCTTGTGGAGATCAAGTCCTGCTCCGGCGAGCTGTTCCAGTACTTCTTTAGCGACGGCCGGGTGGACATCATTAGCGACGGGTGTTGCCGGGCCGTGTCCATAATCACTCACAGCTGCTGGCCCGCGATGCTTGACTCTGTGGGCTTCACGGCCCAGCAAGCCCACTTGCTGAGAGGGTACTGCGACGCGGCTCTTGCTGACGGTGGCCGTTATGCTCCGGCACCGGCGCCGGTTAGTAGTCGTATTCCAGTTGTTTAAAGTGAGATATTTGATCCGAGTTCGCGATGGAATATGAATGGAAAATAAATAACAATTTCGTTCATAATAATAATAAAAATAAACTTTTGTTAATGAATAGTTTGTCTAACATAGAATCAAATTTCGTACGTAACGATTAACAATTAAACGACGAAATGAGATCAACCACCACACCACATGTTTGTATGGTTTATCATTAGCACATGAATGCACCAAGCCAACCATTAGCAACAAATGGGCCAATATAAATTTCAAGCCCGACAGAATTTGAGTGGGCCGGAAAGAAAAAGCCCAAAGCCCACCCAACAACGCTACGAGCTTTTCCCGCCTGAGACAGCCATCCGCCGGCGATTGTAAGGCAGCGAACAAGAAGAAATAAGAAACGACGGAGGGAAAGGAGAAAGTAATCGGAAGACGATGAGCGCCTCCGATCTTCCGACGAAGGAAGCGAACGTGCTGAAAGGTCACGAGGGCGCCGTGCTAGCGGCGAGGTTCAACGCCGACGGCAACTATTGCCTGAGCTGTGGCAAGGATCGAACGATTCGCCTCTGGAATCCCCACCGTGGCATCCACATCAAGACCTACAAATCGCACGGCCGGGAAGTCCGCGATGTCCACGTCACGCCGTACGACTTCTCACTCGCTTGCTTCTCTCCATTTTTTGCCTTCCCGATTTGGTTTGTACCTTATCTTGCTGAACCGTTTTGGGGGGCAGGGATAATTCGAAGCTGGTCTCGTGCGGCGGCGATCGGCAGGTGTTCTATTGGGATGTGTCCACCGGCAGAGTGATCAGAAAGTTCCGGGGACATGAGAGTGAGGTAATAATGCTTTTCAACTTTTGAGCATTCTATCAATTGGAGTGGAGTTGCAGTTTGGTTTGGATGAGAATTAGTTAACAAAATTTAGGGTTTTGGGCGATTAGGTGAATGCTGTGAAGTTCAATGAGTATGCATCTGTGGCGGTATCAGCTGGATATGATCAATCCTTGCGCAGTTGGGATTGCCGGTCTCATAGTACTGAGCCTATTCAGGTGTATTTTCAGGTTCCTCCATCTTCAAGTTTTTTTTTTCTTTCTCCTGGCCTTGTTTATGTGCAAATGTTGATTCTGTGGCTCGTTTGGCAGATCATTGATACGTTTTCCGATAGTGTGATGTCGGTTTGCTTGACGAAAACAGAGATCATTGCTGGGAGTGTTGATGGTACAGTTAGAACGTTTGACATTCGAGTTGGGAGGTGAGTGGTGTTGAGAGCAGTGTAAAAAGACCTGCATTTTCCATTGCTCGAAAGTTATGGTTTTGAAGTTTGGTTTCTTTTGTTCGATCTTACGAAATGTTTTAATGCCAAATTCGGTTTCTTTTGTTATGTAGAGAAATTTCGGACAATTTGGGGCAGCCTGTTAACTGTATATCTTTGTCGAATGATGGTAACTGCATCTTAGCTAGTTGCTTGGATTCTACCTTGCGACTTTTGGACAGGTAAAGATGTTACCAAAAGTGCATATTGGCTGGTTCACATTGATCTGTTTGTGGTTCTTATGCTTTGGTTTTGTTGTTTTAGAACGACGGGCGAGCTCTTGCAAGAATATAAAGGGCATACTTGTAGAGTAAGTTTGTTAAGTTAAACTTCAGCTCTTTGTTACTTGAACGATTGTGAATTTCTACTGATCTGTCTCTGTTCTTTTGAGTGAAGTCTTTCAAGATGGACTGCTGCCTTACAAATACGGATGCCCATGTAACTGGTGGCTCGGAGGATGGGTATGTTTACTTCTGGGATCTTGTCGATGCGACTGTGGTTTCAAGGTTCAGAGCACATGCTTCAGTGGTAATTATTCTGCTTGATTCTGTTTGACTTCACTCGTACTTATATTTCAAGAAACTGACCTTGTATAGTTGAAAAAGCTGCAAAATTTTCACCTTATCTCCAATTTTGAGTACTCGAGGGTGTTGCTGGCTTTACTTTGAATATCATATATGAATGTTAGCCCTAATTATGAGATGCTATGTTATGGCCATTGCTATTTCCTTTTCTACATTTTCATGATCATGGTAGTCTATCAATTGGTCTAGCGCAGACCGAATTTTGTCACCCCCTGCGTGCAAATCCCGACTATGATCCTAGAGTGTTTTACATTTCTCAATGGTTGGTTCTTTTTGCATGGTGCAGGTAACGAGTGTGAGTTACCATCCAAAGGATAGTTGCATGGTGACTGCATCTGTGGACGGCACAATCCGTGTATGGAAGACCTGAAAGACAAAATTCGGGGCAAAGAAGCAACCTTTTCCTGATGCCATCTATACCAGAAAGCTACCTCTGCTAGTTTCCGTCGAAAAGGAAGGATCTTTACAAGGCAAGTTGAGCTGCATTCAAGTCGAATTAGTTCCCCGGGCTTCTTTCTTCCACCTGCAAATCTTATTGAAGGAGCAGGCTGATATTTTACTCTGCAAAATGAAGACTGCCTGAATTCTTGGGAGGAAAAGCTTGAAACTGTATGAGAGTTGGAGATGCTTTGTATTTAACTATTTTCTGAAAAACTGATATTTTCAAACCTCTAGATTGCAGCATATTAAGTTATCATGTTGTATGAATCAATACAGCTACTGATTGAAGTCGTATGCGACTGGTACATGATCCATCGTTATGCGCCTCTTCTTATAATTCGAATTGTTGATAGCATTCTCATGGTATTAGTGCCTCCAATGATTGAAACGTCTTGCTATGAAATATTAATTGTCTTGCTATGAAATATTCCCGAGATCCCAAATAATAATTCCAGCTTTAACATTGACGCGGAGAACTTGATCCTATATTGAATCAACATTCAAACTACTTCATAAGTCCAAAATTCAAGTATTGGCATACAATTACGGGAAGAAATCTCTCACTTTAATTGTCATTCTAAATGCCATAATTTGCAAGTGGGTATATAAACCTCACTTCACATTGCAAAGTACAAACACCTAGCAAAGTTTACAGCAACAACATTTAGCACAAGAGAGAGATAGAGAAAGAGAGAAAGAAGAATGGAGAGTGGGAGAGTGACAATTGGTTACAAGTCCATTTTTCTGGGGATGATGTTGGTGATGGGAATGATGGTCGAGCCATCAACTGCAAGCTACCAACAGTGTTTCGTGAGGTGCCTCAGGACATGTATTTGGGATGTTGCGTGCATGTTCAGGTGCGGTAGTAACTGTCTCATCACAGATCCAATCCATACCGACGAGAAGAACAACAATAACAACGTCAAGTTCTGTAATTTGGGATGCATTGCTACTACTCTCACTGCTCGAAATCCGTCAGGTAATCGTAGATTCCGTTGTTTTCACGACGTTCATCATTGGGATCTTTTGATAATGTAATGCATTGAACTCATCAAGTTGTTGTGATTTGGTTTGGCAGCTCTGGCGGTTATGAGTGAAGGTGAAGCAGAGGAAGTAGCAGAGAGAATGGTGAATGGTTGCTCATCTACCTGCTCCAAGAACATTTAGTTGTGCATTGAGCAATTACTACTAGACATAGAATGCATCTTGAAATTGTTTTATGTAGTAGCTATAGCCTATAGGTAGCAATAAAAGGGTGGAAGACTTTGTGTAATTTGTTTAATTTTAGCTCTCTTTTCTGTAATTTTGTGATATCTTAGTTGATGAAGTTTTTGTTTATAAATTATTAGTGAGAGTTCCAGCGTTTCGAATAACACGTGAAAGCGTTATCAAATTTGGAGTGTAATTATGTTGATGGACTACAAGCATTTAGGATAGAAGTCTTTAGGCCAACAATCATCGTTCTTATAAAGAACATTAATATGGCATCCAAGCCCCAAGTGATATCTTGCACCCAAATGACAGGTCAACTGGCTAGTACAAATCTCAAACTTTATATGTACGTGTACAATACATTTAACGCTATCACAACTAGATCGGTGAATTAAAAGCCAAAATCTTGAAATGATGTGTAGCAAATAGCCTATTATTTAAGAAGAGACAAAACCAACCGAGTGAAATTTGAAGTGCTACCATCAACAATATAAAATATTTCAAGATCTCAAACAATAAGCTCTTGTAGTTATATGAAAATGGAAAAATCTTAAGAGATCCTAAATTGGTATGCTTATTACAAAATATTCAGATAAGGAACAACTTTAATTGTCATCATATGATAAAACATTAATCTTCTTTCCTATTTTTGTAGATCCTCTTTCGTCTTTAATTTCCACAAATTATGTGATCAATTAAATCCACATTCCAAATACGACAATTTACAAGTGGGTATATAAACTCTCTCATCTCATTGCAAAAAATAAACACCAACAAACTTTACAATAACAACATTCATCAACGAAAAAACAAAGAGGAGAATAAGTGCATAAGATGGAGAGTAGAAGAGTGGCAATTGGCTACAATCCTATGTTCTTAGTGACAATGTTGACGATGGGAACAATGGTGCAACCATCAAATGCAAGCTATCAACAATGCTTTGTGAGATGCATGAGGACTTGCATTTTCGATATTGCTTGCACATTTAGATGTGCCAGTAATTGTTTTCTCAGACCCTTTTATAATAAGTACTGGCAGTACCGTTGGTACTCGTAGCAACAACAACCTTAAATTTTGCAATTTGGGATGTGTTGCTGCTACTCTCGCCACTCGTCGTCCAACAGGTTATCATTTAGCTAGTTGTTGTTATTGTTGTTAGCAAATAACGTTTGACAACCATGTTTTTGGTTTGGCAACTTTTGCAATCATGAGTGAAAGTGAAGCAGGAAAAACAACAAAGAAGATTGTGAATGACTGCTCGTCTTCATGTTCAACGAACTTTTAATTTGCATAGAGCAATATTATATTGATAGGCTTTGAATTGTGTCGAATTTAACTAATTCATATACATTTGATCACTTCTTTGTTTGTTAAACATTTGTTGGGTGGAAAAGATGATGAACTTGCATGAATCTTGTGAAAAATATCACTAAAAGTAGGATTTTGCTTAAAAGTGAGTATGATCAAAATAACCTAATGGGTCATTGCCACGTGTTGGGTTTGCAATCATGAGGTCGGTGCTAAACTCAAGTTTTGAGCATCCATTAATAAACAAGCAAAGGTTCATGGACACCCAACCAATGAATCTTTGCCTAACATCTATGAATCTCCAAATGATGTAAAACATGTCATTTGCACAACAAAATCTTTGTTTAAGAATATTGAGATATAGGAAATGAACTATTTAAATGTGTTCAATGAACATATGATATGAGTATGGAGGGTGGAATTTAGTTCATTTTAAATTATGATTTAGTTGGTTTGTTAGGAGGATTTGCCAAAATTGGGATGTGGGTTATATTAATATATTGATCTTGAATGTGAGCGACTTCAAAAAATTAAGGATAATAGAGGTTTTGATGAAGTAAATGGCAGTCTAGAGTAATGATTATGAAAACTTATTGAGTATAAATGTTATTCGATTCGAGAATCACACATGCTAGCGGGCAGTATTAGACATTAGACCAAAGATTTTTGACTGATTGGGCTTATGTCTAAGTCTGAATTCTAATGAAGTCTCAATATTCACAATTTAATTAGATACGAATTCGTGCAAGTTTCAAGCTAATGACTTGGCTTTTAATTTGATAGTGTGTGTAGGGTGACTATATAGCATTAAACTCCATTTTTTTATTTTTTTTCTACCAACTCGATTTATTGATAGTAAGAAACTCTTGGAAAATCCGAGCCAAACAATAAATTGTGCACATTCATCATGATCAATTATGGTACAATCCATCACTCCAATTTCACCAAATTCATTCAACTAATTTCTTTTTATTTATTTATTTCATCAAGTTAGATTCATGTTCTTTGCATTGGTAAGTGATATTATTGTTAGGCTTTTCATCATACCTTGTATTCATGTGTTATGTTATGAGGTCACATGATGGGGGTTTTCTTATTCTTTATTTGGGTTTAGGGTTCACGGGACAATGCCAAGTTAGCTAGTTTTTTAGCATCTAATTAATTATTAGTATATATTTTTCTAATCCAATTGATTATTAATAGTTTCTGGTAATCATGTAATCAACAAGAGATTAGGTATATTAATAATACCTTATATGGGCCGATAAAAGACAGCAAGTTAAGTAGAAGTAAGCTCTTGTCTATTATTTATTTCCAACACCTAACCTAATGCTACGTGTATAGTTTTTTTTTAAAGAATGCTAAGTGTATAGTTATGTGAAAGCAACCACCACTTAACCTAACAACATTTACATTTGTTAAATGATTGATTCGTTTGATCTTCACTCAATCTCAAGATAAAAAACTCCACTTTGCACCAAATTGTCTTGCAAAGGTGATCAGAAGTTATCGAAATTGGACTTATATGAGCGAGATAGTCCATCTGAAAGAGGGAACAATCAAATATCACGAAATTTCAAAACCAACAAGAGTGATGATGTGCAAGTCCAGACACCCTCTCGTTTAGATTTGTCGGTCATCACCTGTCTATTTGTTCTAGATTTTGCTCCGACTGACTTGATATTTATTTTTGTTTGTCGTAATGAGTTTTTATTTTATACTATCCATGTACGAGATTTCTTAAATCTCATTTATTATTTTACCAGAATGACAAGAAAATTGCATTTGGGCGGTATTTTATTACTTTCTTATTATGTTTTATCCAGATTTTATATCTCTCTTCAAGTAGAAAATAAAACTCACGCACATGCTACTTTTAAAAAAACAAATGATAATACCTATGACGGTCTGCGATTATTACTCAAACCAATTCAACTTGACTAAACATAAACGAAAATCCAATCAATAAATCACCAAAATATTTCATCGATTTACAACCGAATTCTACTTACTTACTTATCTACTAAATAAAAATCTATAGATTGCTTACCAGTTACCACAAATCGGCTAAATTACACGTTTGGTCACTCAAATTATATAAATCTTTCACGTTTGCCACCCGAATTACTTTTCTTTCTTATTCGCCACTAACTTTACGAATCGTTTCACCGTAGCCACCCGCCGTCCAATTCCGTTAAAATCATCCTACGTGGCAGTCAACCAAAGCCTTTGACCGTTAATTTTGATGACGTGGCAATTAAAAAATAATATAAAAATAAAAAATAAAATCAAGGGCAAGGAGAGAGGGAGTTTAGTTACTTGGAGCAGTCGGTTTCGGGGCTAACAACGTAAGGCACAGTCGACAACGCCACCGCCGTCGGATTCCTCCGCTACAAGGGGATCCAACCCTTTTCCCCACCGCACCTCACCGCCACTCCACCAATCAACGCCACCGCCGTCACCGCCGCCTTCGCCGGCTGCCTCAGGAGCCTCAATTCCCCAAATTACCCCGCCGCCGTGCCCCAAACCGTCGACCACTCCCTCCTCTTCGCAATCGGCGTCGGAATCAACCCTTGCCCGACCTGCGTCAACGGGACCAAGACCGTCGCCGACATCAACAACGTCTCCTTCGTCCTCCCCATCGTGGCTCTGCTCCAGGCCCATTACTTCAAATTACAGGGGATCTTCACCGACGATTTCCCGGCGAACCCGCCCTCGCCGTACAATTACACGGGGAACCCGCCGGCGAATTTGCAGACCACGAACGGGACGAAGGTGTACCGGCTAGGGTTTAACGAGACCGTGGAGGTCGTCCTTCAGGGGACCAGCTTGATCACGCCGGAGAGCCATCCAATTCATCTCCATGGATTCAATTTCTTCGTGGTGGGAAAAGGATTGGGGAATTTCGACAAGGGTAAAGATCTGAGTAGCTTCAATTTGGTTGATCCGGTGGAGAGGAACACAATGAGTGTCCCCACCGCAGGATGGACCGCGATCCGATTCCGAGCTGATAATCCAGGTAAAACAATGTAGAGACATTCATCAATCGCACTTCGAAATATAAGATCTGAGTAGTCTTGTGAAGTAGAAACCCAAGCAGCTGGGAGGTGGTTGGAGGACCAGATCTGGAAAAGAAACGAAGTATAGAATGGCAAGGTTGGAAATAATATAAAAATGATTTTATTTTTTATTTTTATATTATTTTTTAATTGCCACGTCATCAAAATTAACGGTCAAAGGCTTTGGTTGACTGCCACGTAGGATGATTTTAACGGAATTGGACGGCGGGTGGCTACGGTGAAACGATTCGTAAAGTTAGTGGCGAATAAGAAAGAAAAGTAATTCGGGTGGCAAACGTGAAAGATTTATATAATTTGAGTGGGCTGAAAGTGAAACAGAACAGAGACGAAAGCAAGAGATCACTCACAGCAACTCGTTTTCTCGACATCCGATCCGACCACAGAACTAGGATCTCTTGCCAACGCGGCATCCTTTAGATCATCATCGTCCTACTGTCCTTTCTCTCTCTCTCTCTCTCTCTCTTCATACGCGGTTTCCTTTCCCTCTCTCAAAAGCGAATCCCTAGTTGGCAGCCGTAGCCATCAATCGAAATCAAGACCAAAAAGTCCAAACCAGAATCGAACACTCTCTGTTTTATTACTAAGATCGCAACAAATTGGAAGCCAGCTAGATCACCCCCGCCGCTCACCGCCGGCGGAGCACGGCGGCCGGCAGGCAGACAGATCAACACCGCCACCACCGTCATCTTCCCTGGGTCCCACCTCCCCCTCCATCTATTCTTTCATTTCCCCCACCATTTCACCGAGTGATAAAAAAAACAGAGCAATAAAGAAAAAAACTGTTTCTCTGTTTTCCTTTTTCTTTGTGGGACTGGGATCTAATTTGTTGTTTGTTTCTTCCTGTCGCTATCCTTCATTCCCTCTCCTCTCACCCCATTTGACTCTCTCTCTTGCACTATCCGGAATGATGTGTAATAACCCATCACCCACCATTACCACTACCGCCATTACTACTTCATTGCTTTGCATTGCAGTACAAAAGGCATAAACTTTGCTCCCCACTGTGGGTTGGGTTGGGGTTGTGCCTCTCTGGATCCATCTGTCTTTCTTTTCGTTTCTCCCCATTTGTTTTCCTTCTCCATTACGCCTTCCATTCCCCCATTTGCCGATAAAAAGTGGGGGGAAAAAACTGGCTTGTGAACTAATCTATCCAAGCTGCCTGCTGTGAAAAGGAGAAAGAAGGGGGAAAAAGGGAACAACTTTTGTTTACTCGTTGTTTGACTGCTCCGAGAGGAGGCTTTGCTTGTTTGTGGTGCAAAGTTTGGAGCTTTTTTCATTCAGCGAGCTGAAATGACCCACTGGAGCTGGAGGAGACTGCTGTGCGTGGTTCTGAGATTGAAGTGAAGCGAAGGGGGCTTTCTGGGGTTTGTGGGTTGTTTCTGAGTTCTCTACGCCATGAATACTGGCGGAAGACTCATTGCTGGTTCTCACAACCGGAATGAGTTTGTGCTCATCAATGCCGATGAGACTGCAAGAGTAAGAAAGAAGACATATTTTCTTGTCTTTGTTTTGATCTGGTTTTCGTCTGCTGGATTTCTTTGGGTGTCTTCTGTTTTCCTTTGGGTTGGGTTGTTAGAATGTTGGTAGATTCTAATGATTTTGGGGGGTGTTAGAGTGAGAAGAACACTAATTATTTTGAGTGGAGCTTTTGCTGCATTTTCAGCGTCAGGGTTGGTTTGTATCAATTTGGTAGAAGTTTGTGAAAGAGGGCACTTGGATTCTGGTTTTCGGTATAGTACTGTTGACGGTTGATTTGAGTTGAAACTTCAACACCAGTAGGAATAACTAAGTAGGTGTTGTGTCTATTCTGGGTGAAAATGACAATGCACTTTAGTTTTCTGCATCCCGTTTGAGAATGTTCTTGAGTGGAGTTTTTCACCTTTCAATTGAGCAACACTCTCACCACAGTGTGTTTATGCTTCTTACTTGGTTGTATTCTAAGTAAACCGGGATTGCAGTTTTGTTTTGTCAAGAGCTTGGTGAGCTGAACATATAGAAAACCTTAGGTTTCTCACTTTGGATATCTTCCTTGGCGAGTCTAGTTCCAACTGAACTGGTTTGTCTTAGTTCATTAACTATTCTCTTGCTCCCAACATATTACTTATGAAAGTTCAATTGGTTCCGGACATTACAGATTCGATCGGTGCAAGAATTGAGTGGCCAAGTGTGCCATATATGTGGTGACGAGATCGAGATCACAGTGGACGGAGAGATATTCGTTGCATGCAACGAATGTGCTTTCCCTGTGTGCAGAACTTGTTACGAGTACGAGAGACGAGAGGGCAATCAGGCTTGTCCTCAGTGTAAAACCAGATATAAGCGTCTCAAAGGTCAACTCTCTTACCTCTTTTTCTTTCCACTATTCTATCTGAAAAGAAACGATAATTTCGGTCTTCTCATAGTGTGATGCAACATTGCAGGTAGTCCTAGGGTCGACGGTGACGAGGAAGAAGATGATGTCGATGATCTGGAGCACGAATTTGATTATCGCGACTTTGACGGTTTGGGCCCAGAACAAGTTGCAGAGGCATTGCTTGCTGCAAGACTCAATACTGGCCGTGGTTCCCACCTTAATAATGCATCTGGAGTTTATGTACAATCAGAACACAATGCTTCACCCGTCGACTCTACAATTCCTCTGCTCACATATCACAATGAGGTACTTTCTGGATCACAGCTCCTCTTTTTTCACTAATTGGTCAGCTACAATGAGCTCACTTGTTTCCTATTTTGCTTGCAGGATGTTGATATCACTTCTGATGATCATGCTCTTGTTGTTTCCCCTCGGTCGAGTAATGGAAATAGAGTTCATCCGATGCCTTTTCCAGATCCATCTACACCATGTAAGTGGTGCCATAATACTGCTAGCTGCTGTGCCGAGTTTCATGTTTTTGTCATATCTATCGAGTTAACTGTAACTTATTTTTTTGGCAATGCAGTGCCACCCAGATCTATGGTTCCGCAGAAGGACATAGCGGTGTATGGCTATGGAAGTGTCGCGTGGAAGGACAGAATGGAAGAGTGGAAGAGAAGGCAAAGTGACAGACTTCAGGTGGTCAAGCATGAAGGGGGGAGTGATGGCGGAAACTACGATGGGAATGAACTTGATGACCCTGATTTGCCCATGTGAGTTTTTTTCACTGCATTACCTATGAGCAAATTCTTACTCACGTCGAGATGGGTTATATGATGGCATTAGCTAGTTTCCTTGTTCTTACGTTCCTGCAACATGACAACAAAAACTAATAGAGGAAGCACTAGTTTGTTGCTTTAACTGTCTCAATGCCAAATTTAGTGCTCAATGTGGTTCGGTAAGCAAGTTTAGAGACTAAGTTGGCATTTAGATTGGTCTTTGTCAAGGGAGAAGTAGTGTTTGGTATTGATTTGGTTATTGATGAGTTTTCTTGGCATATATTGTCAGGATGGATGAGGGCAGGCAGCCACTTTCGAGGAAGTTACCTATTCCTTCAAGCAAGATAAACCCGTATAGACTTGTAATTGTCATCCGTCTTGTGATCTTGGGGCTGTTCTTCCACTACAGAATTCTTCACCCAGTCAAAGATGCATTTGGATTGTGGCTAACATCGGTTATATGTGAAATATGGTTTGCCTTATCATGGATTCTTGACCAGTTCCCAAAATTGTACCCTATAGAACGAGAAACATACCTCGATCGACTGTCACTAAGGTAGCTTAGTCTGCTATTCTCTATTGTTCTTTCACATTTCTTCTTGAAAGCTGTTGGCTTTACCATTTTCATTTACTTGCCAGGTACGAGAAAGAAGGCAAACCATCAGAGCTTGCTAGCATAGATGTATTTGTTAGCACGGTGGACCCCTTGAAAGAACCCCCATTAATTACTGCGAATACCGTCCTCTCTATTCTTGCCGTAGACTACCCTGTTGATAAAGTCGCTTGCTACGTATCCGATGATGGTGCTGCTATGCTCACCTTTGAAGCGCTCTCAGAGACATCTGAATTTGCTAGGAAATGGGTTCCTTTCTGTAAGAAGTTTAATATCGAGCCAAGAGCACCCGAGTGGTACTTCTCCCAAAAGATTGATTACTTGAAGAATAAGGTCCATCCTTCGTTCGTTAGGGAAAGGCGTGCTATGAAGGTTAGTTAGTGTCCCTTTTTCCTGTCAGCTATATATGATCAAATGTGGTGTGCAAGTCTCATGGTCGTAACACCTTCTACTTCCCCTTGCTGGTAAAATGCAGAGGGATTACGAAGAGTTTAAGGTTAGGATCAATGGATTGGTTTCGACAGCACAAAAGGTTCCGGAAGATGGTTGGACAATGCAAGATGGAACTCCATGGCCTGGAAATAATGTGCGGGATCATCCTGGCATGATTCAGGTGAGTAAAATGTTTTTTTGCCTGAGCCTATAGCTAAATGAAAACCTGATTTTATCATCCTTATTCGTCCTTTTACTTTGCCTTGCTCTTGAGAAAATCTATTACTTTTCTTCTTTTTTGCTTCATGCACCAAATAGCCCCTTGGTTCCTCCAAGCTCTGAGTTCCAAGGAACAAAACGAGAAAAAGGGTTTCAAAAGGTGCTATATCAACGGATTCCCGTGGCAGAGGAATTGAAAAACCCCTCTCGTGCATTTTGCTAATAGCATTTTTTGCGAAGTGCACACTAGGGTCTCCTTTGCTACAAGTCAGTGGCTGTTCTGTCTGCAGATACTTTTTAGTTATTTTTAGACCAATTCTCCATCTTCAGGAGAAAAAAAAAAGCTTCTTCCTTCTTGAAGGACAGGTGCACTGACATTATGAGATTGTTTTGCATCTGAATACTTTGTATTGTGGATATCACATTTTGTATTGGTCTTCTAAGCTCTTTGATCTTGTTGCGGTTCCTTCATAGTTACAGTCGTTTTCTTTCTTATTTTTATAATTAAAATCTGCATTATCATTGTCAAACTGGAATGATACAGATTGGTTATAGCTTCACAGAGGCTATCGTCTGGTATTTGGTCCATATATCAGCTTATTCACTTTTAGCCGCCCCTTTGGAAGTTTCTTTGATCTTGTTAAAATCATTTAATATGAACTTGCTTTCAAAACTGACATGGTTTCTAGTCGAGATCACTTTCGAACACCCATTTTACTTTGCATCTCAAATGATGTTTTGCCATTACAGGTATTTCTTGGTCAGAGTGGTGTTCGTGACGTTGAAGGCGATGAGTTGCCTCGTTTAGTTTATGTCTCTCGTGAGAAGAGACCAGGGTTTGACCATCACAAAAAGGCCGGGGCTATGAATGCACTGGTAATATCTCTAACTTGTGCAGATTGTTTGATGCTGGTTGATGTTTTTGCTACACCTTTGAATAAAATGAGATGTGAATCATTATTCGTTGTGATTGATGTAGATACGAGTTTCAGCAGTGCTGTCCAACGCTCCTTACATGCTGAATGTTGATTGTGATCATTACATCAATAACAGCAAGGCTCTAAGAGAAGCCATGTGTTTCATGATGGACCCAACTTCGGGGAAGAAAGTTTGCTATGTGCAGTTCCCTCAGAGATTCGATGGGATTGATCGACATGATCGATACTCTAATAGGAATGTCGTCTTTTTCGATGTAGGGATCGCTGTTCAAGCATTAGCTTTCTTCTTCTTTGCTTAATTCTTTTTACATATCAAGTTACCACAGCTGATGAGGCTGACTCCCAAATTTGAAACAGATCAACATGAAAGGTCTGGATGGTTTACAAGGACCAATTTATGTCGGTACTGGTTGTGTCTTCCGGAGGCAAGCTCTTTACGGTTATGATGCACCCATTAAAAAGAAGCCTCCAGGGAAGACCTGCAACTGCTGGCCTAGATGGTGCTGCCTGTGCTGTGGATCAAGAAAGAAAACGAAATCAAGTGCCAAGAAGAACAAGAAGAAAACGAAGGGCAGAGAAACGTCAAATCAAGTCCATGCTCTTGAAAATATTGAAGGACAGAAAGGTAATGGAATTCTTCTGTTATCTATTTCTGTATGACACTTGGTTGTGATTCGTGTTCATGCTTCTCAGTATTCATTAATGGCTGCTGCAGAGTTGATTACGAATAAGTCTTCTGAAACACCTCAGACCAAATTGGAGAAGAAATTTGGGCAGTCGCCGGTATTTATAGCCTCTGCACGTCTTGAAGAAGGTGGAGTTCCAAGAGATGCCAATCCTGCTGCCTTACTGAGAGAAGCTATTCAGGTTATCAGTTGTGGGTATGAAGACAAAACAGAATGGGGCAAAGAAGTAAGTACAGAGAGAACTTTTCCGATGACTTATTGCTCTCTAATTGTTTGACTAAGCAATGGTTCTTCGAACTCCATTCAGGTGGGATGGATCTATGGCTCAGTTACGGAGGACATTCTGACAGGGTTCAAGATGCACTGCCATGGATGGCGGTCTGTGTATTGCATGCCTAAAAGACCGGCCTTTAAAGGATCGGCTCCAATTAACCTGTCAGATCGTCTGCACCAAGTTCTTCGATGGGCATTGGGGTCGGTTGAGATTCTCTTGAGCAGACATTGCCCACTATGGTATGGATATGGTGGTGGGTTGAAGTCGCTGGAGCGATTTTCATACATAAACTCCGTCATCTACCCGTTGACCTCCATTCCCTTACTGGCTTACTGCACATTGCCAGCTATATGTCTTCTCACTGGCAAGTTCATTGTCCCTCAGGTAATTGGGGTACACTATTACAATTTACGATTTTCCCATTCGCTTCTCTGATGTTCGTGTTCTATGTAGAATTAATTAATAGCACTCATCAATTTCTTTTTGTTGGAGTGTTGCAGATTAGCAACTATGCCAGCATACTGTTCATGCTGCTCTTCGTATCTATCGCTGCAACGAGTCTCTTCGAGATGCAATGGGGTGGTGTGGGGCTCGATGATATATGGCGAAACGAGCAGTTCTGGGTGATTGGTGGTGTCTCGTCCCACCTCTTCGCCCTCTTCCAAGGTCTCCTCAAGGTCTTGGCCGGAGTGAACACCAACTTCACCGTGACCTCGAAGGCAGCCGATGATGGAGAGTTCTCGGATCTGTACCTCTTCAAGTGGACTTCCCTCCTCATCCCTCCCACGACATTGTTGATCATAAACATCGTGGGAGTTGTTGTTGGGATCTCCAACGCAATCAACAATGGCTATGACTCGTGGGGCCCACTGTTCGGCAGGCTGTTCTTCGCCATATGGGTGATCGTCCATCTTTACCCTTTCCTCAAGGGGTTGCTAGGGAAGCAGGACAGGATGCCGACGATCATTCTGGTGTGGTCGATTCTCCTGTCGTCGATATTGACCTTGCTTTGGGTGAGAGTCAATCCATTCGTGTCGAGAGATGGTCCTGTGTTGGAGGTCTGTGGGTTGAACTGTGACTGAATAAAGTGACTGGATGTCACTTTGCCACAGTGTAGAAGATTGTTGTGAATGGGAATTTTGGTATGCAGACATTTAGGGGTGTATATATATATATGTAGGGGAAGAAGACAAATTGGTCTTTTCTTTTTTGGGTAGTTAATTCCTTGATTAATTGTTAGCTTGGGAGAGGGTTTCTTGGTAGTACTGATTGGAGGATTTTTGTGAATCCTAAGATTTGAATACACAATTATGGGAACAGAATTTCAATACAAATATTCATCTGTTTTTGTTTTTTGAGAAATTGAAGGGAATTGAATCAATACAATGATTCTGTTCAACCTCGTTCAGTCTAGATCGAATGGTTGCTCACGCCTAGCTATATCGATTCAACATCTGATATTTGCTGAGAATTACATGAAGTCATGAGAAACCAAACAGCACAAGTGTCCAATTTGTTGACCAGCTCCAGGTTGTATATATACTTCTGCAGGAGCTGGCATTTTGAAGGCAAGTTCTCCAAGCTTGATCTGATAAACAAACCATGAGTAGCTACTCAGCAGCCCTTCGGGCTTTTGATGAATAAAACGCTGTTAAACCAAGCATCAATGGTGGTTGATAAACATAGAACATGTAGTTGATAAGCCAGGAAAGGCTGCAACTGTACCTTGCTCCGCTTCATAGATTAAGAAGTTAATAAACTCTGTATGGCTATACAGCCCAAGAAAGGCTGAGGGAACAGCTTCAATCTGTATAAAGGAATTATAATGTTTCGAGGTTGAACAAATTTGCATTCTGATAACGCAATATGCAGTGACTTGCATCAGTCTGTTGTTGCACCTCTGGCAGTTGAACAGAAAATCCAATGTAAGGCTTGAACAAGCATAAACAAACTACCCAGAGTGCCAACAAGGTTGAACTATCTCCACTCGTGCCTCCACGTCAAACTCAAGGTGCGACTTATCTCCAGAGAGAAAAGCACATCCACCGTTGTTCATCTCAATCCAACTACACCCAGGTTGTTTCTTGACTCCACTGTTCTTCATTCGGGTCAAAACTCTCTCCGCCTCATTCAATCTTCCAACGCTAGCATATAACTCTGCCAAAATCAAGTACGTGCCAGACCTATTTGGTTCAATTGCCAATACATTCTCAGCAGCAACCGCGCCAACTTCAACATTTCTGTGAACTCTACAAGCTCCAAGTATAGCTCCCCAGACACTAACGGGAACTTCAAGCCCATCGGCTCTCATTCGGTCTATAAAACTCATAGCTTCATCAATCAGCCCAAACCTTCCCAATAGATCCACAATACAGGTGTAATGTCCACCTGTTGGCTGCAAAAAGCACTCGTCTTTCATATAATTGAAATAGTGTTTACCCTTTTCCACCAATCCTGCATGGCTACAAGCAGACAGAACAGCAATAAAGGTTAACTCGTTAGGCTTCACATTGCTCAATCTCATTTCTTCGAACATCTCGAGGGCTTGCGGTCCAAGGCCATGGTGGGAAAATCCAGAGATGATTGAGTTCCAAGAAATGACATTATGGCTAGGCATGGAGGAAAAGGAAAGCAAAGCAGAGGTCATATTCCCACATCTGGCATACATAGTGATCATTGCATTGCATACCTCGATAGTAAGATTTAGTCCCGTCTTGAAAACATGTACACAGACTTGTTTCCCAAGGCATAAGGCTGGTAACTCTGAACAAATTGTCAAGATGCTAGTGAAAGTAGCCTTATCAGGTGACAACCCTAATTCTTTCATCCTCGTAAACAATTTGATGCCTTCTTCCTCAAGTCCATTCTCCCCTAGTCCACATATCATCACATTGCATAACGTTAAGTCTAGATGATGCATCGAGTAAAACAGGCTAACTGCAGCTCCTACTTCACCTTCCCTGAAGTATCCGATGATTATGTTAGTCCACGACACAATGTCACCATATGGAAGCTTTTCGAGGAAGGCATGAACTGGTTTAGTTGCTCCACTCTCCATTAATTTCAGTAGCAGCGAGTTCCACGTGGTATGACATTTCTCAGGTGATTCCAAGTAGAGGCTAAAAGCACCACTGAGTCTTCCACAAGTGACTAACCCATTTATCAATTGCCTCCAGGAATCAGAGTCTTTTTGTTCTGACTTGCGAAACAAGTCTTCTGCCTGGTCTAGCTCCCCGATTCTGATATATGCAGCAATCAAGGAATTGCAAGCGTGAGAGTCTTTAACCGGCATCTTCTCATAAAACTTATGAGCTTCAACAAGGCGCCCTTCCTTAGCCAATCCAGAAACCATAACTATCCAAGACACTACTGTGTCTTTCCCTCTCATCCCGACAGGCATTTCATGAAACAGTTGCATCGCCTCGTCGATGACTCCTTTGTGAACATAACCAGCAATAATGGAGTTCCAGGTAACTATATCTCTAGAGTCCATCTTATCAAAGACCTTCCTAGCACCAGACAGATCACCACCCTGGATCAACCCGGAGATCACTGTGTTTTATGTATAGCTATCGGGCTTGGGAATTGAACCCAACAAACTGAATGCTTTTTCCTTCTCCCCATTCTTGAAATAGCCGTTAATCATGGTGTTCCAAGTCACAACGTTTCGGTCAGGCATTTCATTGAACAAATTCTCTGCTTCCTCGACCAGACCACTTTTCATGAAGCTGGAGAGCTTGGAGTTGAGAGGCTTGAGATAAGGAAGTGCCGAAGACGGTTGGCATGGCGTAGCTAATGCTTGAGTCGAGAAATTGAGCCAACTATTAAGGTTCAGAGAGACAGTTCGAGTGCGTTTGAGCAGGTGGACACACCAAGAAGCACAGAACATACTCTATTATTATGTTTCAAAAAAACTAAAAAACTGCTAGCAAGAGGAAGAATTGAAGACAACCAACGTTCACTGCTAAGATCTTATTCAGTATAAGACACAAAGTAATCAGCTTCCCGGAAAGTTGCTTAATCCTCCCTATACACGATAGCACACCATGGCACAAAATTGAGAACGCAGTGACCAAATCATCAACCTTCACCATCCAGATTCGCCCAGAATCAGTATCAAATTCCACGCGTGAAGAAAGGAGCATGCGAAGCTTCAAAACCAAAGAGAAAGCAATGAACTTGGAAGTGACTTTCTCCAGGTGACACAAGATGAAACGCATACAGGCGAAAAAAACAGCCAAGATAAGCAAAAGAAAATTGGAAAACACAATTGGCAGACAGAGAAAAATTGCTAACTGAAAAATGGAAGCGAATTCGGAATCAACCAATAATTACAGTAAGAACATTCATTGTGAGCAGAGAAAACCCAGAGAAGGGAAATTACCTCGCTTCCGACTGGCCCGGAGCTGAAACACTGGTCAGGAAAGAGAGTATAAATCACCAAAAGGCTAAATTTTTCTTCCTTTATTCTTCAAAAGTTTTCCGGGTCACAGGTGAAAATGATGGACTGTCGGCGGGTTGGCTGCCGGAGGAGCTTCGCGCCGGCGGGATAGTTTTCCCCCCTTAAGTTAACTGAATAGGGACGGAACAAGATTTGATTTTAGGGATTGAAAAACTGAAGCTAGTAGTCTAGTAGGTTCATAAACGACAGCGTTTTAATTCTGATTCAGGTTCTTATAACTACGGCATGAATTTACAAATGTTTTTTTTTTACAGAAATCTGCGCTACAAATGTCGTATAAACTGAATTTGTACTTTTAATACTATTATAAAAATTTTATTTATATGTATAACCTTTTGTAAAAAAGATATTTATAATGCAAATTAATCTTATAGTTTTAAGGTTATGGTACAAATTCAACTTGTACATAAAAGCACCAATAGAACTTATCTTAAAAAGAAAGATCCCAAAAAGCTACACAATAATTTAGTAGTAAACTTCTATCAAGCATCTCTTAAAAAAAATTGGGTATTATTATGATAATATCCACCGTTAACAAAGAGGATAGACATTTTAGTATTTTACCATAAGTGATTATATTGGTAAATAATTCGCCACAAAATGAGTCATATTCATATGAATAGATCGAACTCTTACGATGGAGAGAGAAAGATAACATGTGACCTAAACAAAACAATCCCAGGTGTTTGATTCAAGAAATTAGGAATCTTCAAATAGAGTCTGCTTATGTAGTCAAACAACACCCACTAATTAACCCAACAAAACCACAGGCAAAAGCAAACTTAAATACTTCAACTTGTACTCTTGACTTTGAACAACAGACTAAGCACAATCTTCCAAAAATCACTGACTATTAAAATCAAGATGACCTCTTCTGGTTAAGTAACAGATTTTGAAACTTTCCTTACCAAGAACATTCAAAAGAATGTGTAAATGACTAAATACTATTATAATCCAAATGCTCAGACATAAAAAAACAGATGCTGCATTACAAAAACCTTGCCCAAAATCATCTCAAAACCAACAAAGAACAAACAATGGAGCCTTGCTTCCATTATACCCACATAATACCAACAATGACGATCATCTTACTGTCATTTCTCCACAGGCTCCCTTCCATTACCGCCCAGCAAGACTACATCAACAACACTCAGCTCAACTGCAACTCCGGCGACGCCTCGCCTTCCATAGCCAAAGGCTACAGCTGCAATGGAATCACGACTGGTCAGTGCCAATACTTCACAACTTTTCAATCAAACCCGCCTTACAATGATACCCCGATATCGATCGCCCTTCTCCTGGGCTCGGAACCTTCCACCGTGGCTTCCATAAACAACATCTCATCCACCTCGGCCAGAATCCCACCCGGGACGTGGATCATAGTACCTGTCTCTTGTTCCTGTTCAGGCAGCATCTATCAACATAACACTCCTTACGCCGTAAGGGATCCAAACGAGAGTTACTTCACCATTGCCAACGACACCTTCCAGGGCCTGACGACTTGTCAGGCACTGGCAGGGCAGAATTACTATGAGTTTGACCGACTTTATGTTGGCTCGGAGCTGAATGTTCCGTTGAGGTGTGCTTGCCCGAGTGAGCAACAGGCTGCCGCTGGTGTGGTGTCCTTGTTGGGGTACATGGTGACATGGGGCGACTCCATTCGATCGATTGCTGACCGGTTTCGCGTGGATAGTGCCAGGATCATGGAGGCTAATAGATTGAGCAATGATAGTATGCTCTTCCCATTTGGGCAGCTTTTGGTCCCTCTTGATAGCCAGAGTTGTGAAGCGAATCCTGACAGCTTCTTCTGCAGTTGTAGTGTCAATCCTGGAATCTGCATTCCTGACAAGAAAAAGTTCCCTGTCAAGTTGGTTACACTACTAGGTATGAATCTATGTGATGCATTCTTGGATTATTGTCGTATTATTATTATGGTTATTTTGGTTATTCGGTTTAGTTACTGTTTATGATTAGTATTAATTAGGATTCTTGCGTCGGAAGTAACTAAATATTTGTGAGATTGAGAATGAGGTCGGCTTAGTTAGAGAAGGAAAGGGTTTGTGGGATTAGTTTTGTAAGATTAATCATGAATGAGATTGACCAAGTTATTTACAAATTCGTTATAGTTTTCATAGTTAATCTCTCTAGAAATTCGTTCGATCTCGACACGCAGAATTAGCACGCGTCACTATATATCTTTTGTAATTCGTAATTCAAAGCTCTCGAAGTCATAGACAGGTATCTCTCATTCAAAGTTTCTGATGTCTTGTCCTGTCTCTCTCAGGAATTGGGATTGGAATTGGACTACTGGCCACATTCCTGATCCTCTACAAGCTTATTCAGTTCCTCAAAAAGAGAAGAGACAGAATCCAAAAACAAAAACTGTTCAAGCAAAATGGTGGGGTCTTGCTACAGCAGAAGCTCAATTCATACCCAGGAAGCCATGAGAACTCAAAGCTATTCACCGAAGAGGAGCTGAAAAGAGCTACTGACAACTACAACCAGAGCCGCTTCCTTGGGAAAGGAGGGTTCGGGACAGTCTACAAAGGAATGCTCCCAGATGGAACGATAGTTGCTGTCAAGAGGTCAAGAACCATTGACAAGACACAGATTCAACAATTCATAAATGAGGTTGTCATTCTGTCCCAGATCAACCACAGGCACATTGTCAAGCTCCTGGGTTGTTGCCTTGAAACTGAGTTCCCATTGCTTGTCTACGAGTTCATCCCAAATGGTAGTCTCTCAAGTTACATCCATGGCCGAAATCTGGATGGAGAAGAAGTTTTGGCGTCTCTTTCATGGGAGGATCGATTCAGAATTGTCGGGGAAGTTGCTGGAGCTGTTGCTTACATGCACTCTGCAGCTTCATTTCCCATCTTCCATCGCGACATCAAGTCTTCGAACATACTGTTGGATGCCAAGTTGAGTGCTAAAGTCTCAGATTTTGGCACTTCTAGATCGGTTCCTGACGACAAGACTCATCTTACTACCGTGGTAATTTCTGTTGTTTAAGACTACCATGCTTAATCTATTTTGTTCTTGACGAGCTGTTTAGAATTCAGACATAATAATGTAATGTTTTCCATTAAATATTTGTCCCTCAAGGTACAAGGCACCTTTGGGTACTTGGATCCAGAGTACTTCCACACGAGTCAGTTCACAGAGAAGAGCGATGTATACAGCTTTGGGGTCGTTCTTGTGGAACTTATGACGGGACAAAAGCCCATCTCATTCACTAGAGGTGAAGAAGAGAGAAGTCTCGTCGCACATTTCATTTCATCAACGAAGGAGAACAAGGATGGTCTGTCCAAGATTTTGGACCCTGTGGTCAGTAGAGAAGCCAGGGAAGAAGATGTGGAAGCCATTGCCGAGCTGGCTGTGAGGTGTTTGAGATTGAATGGGAAGAAAAGGCCTACAATGAGAGAGGTGGCTATGGAGCTCGACGGGTTGAGGAACTCACAAAGGAGATTGCAACTTGATCAAGAAGAGTCCTTTGTGGATAGAACATACAGTAATCAGCTTGATGCTGAAAGAGAAGAGTCCATTGAGGACAGCTTTGCGATCTCTGTAGAGCTTGAATCCGTCTAAAACTTGAGACTAATTATTTTGTTTTCTCAGATTTGTTTCCATCTTTCCACTTAGATAGTTTCACCGTTCCCATCAAAACTAAGGTTAAGACTTAGGACAGCATTTCCAGTTAGTTTTTTTCTCTTTAGCAGTTACAGCAATAAGGGACAGGAGCAATGTAAACGAAGTACCTTCATGTTCTGGGACAGCTGTTGTGGCCCGAGTCTGTAGGGAAAGTTACTCACTTTGAACCGAAATAATGTCAGCACCAGATATGCATCGTAACCTTCGGAAGTTCACTGCATAAAATTGAAGCTCAAACAATGAAGAACAGTGAGCAATGGTTCTCATACTATACATATACTTGATATTAGACGCATACACAAGTATAACCGATCAATCATTGAAATTAATATGACGTGTATTTAAGACCCTTGAGATGAACACAACCTTTATGCCATATTTAGAATGAAGGATTTGGCCATTCAGGCACAATAACTAAGACTTAGCAGTCAAAGTAAATGATTGTTGATTGAGGAGTGGGTGTAACACAGAGCAATCAATAAGACTTTGCTTCCACTATGATCGTTGATGAACAAAAGAACATGGCAGCTTTACCATCCACTAAATCCCTAAATACCTCAAACTTACTCTCTTCACTGTTTTTCAGTGGAAGACTTATTCTTTTGGCCCTTTCTCTTATTTCCAGTGGAAGACTTGCTCTCTTGACTTTGAGCAATCCTTCAACTATCTTCTAAATATCATTGACTAGAAACAGCAAGTCTTTAACGTGTTTGAAACCTACTTAACAAGAACATTCGAAAGGAATATATGAGAGCACTTCCAAGTTCCAATCAAAATGCATAACCACCTTCTGCATCGACGTAAACAACGACACTAACGAGGTTTCTCACAAAATCTAGCCAAACTATCTTTAACCATGAAGCCATCAGTTGGCTCAACACAGATAATCATAACAATGGCCACAATCTTACTTTCCTTTCTCCACAATCTCCCTTTCATAACTCCCCAGCAAGACTACATCCGCAATCGTCAGCTTGACTGCTTTTCTGAAGCACCTTCGATAACCAAAGGCTACAGCTGCAATGGAATCAGAACCGGCCAATGCCAGTATTTCACAACTTTCCAATCCTTCCCACCTGACTATGAAACCCCGATCTCGATCGCCCTCCTCCTGGGCTCAGAACCTTCCACCATAGCTTCCATAAACAACATCTCCTCCATCTCGACGAAAATCCCACCCGGGACATGGATCATAGTACCCGTCTCTTGTTCTTGTTTCGGAAGCATTTATCAACACAACTCTCCTTACACTGTCAGGGCTCTGGATGAGACTTACTTCACTATTGCCAACAACACCTTCCAGGGCCTGACGACTTGTCAAGCCTTGGCAGGGCAGAACTACTACTACAGCATCGAGCAGCTTCGCATTGGTTTCGAGCTGAATGTTCCATTGAAGTGTGCCTGTCCAAGTGAGAAACAGGCTGCCACCGGTGTGGTGTCCTTGTTGGGGTACATGGTGACGTGGGGAGATACCATTCCATTGATCGCTGACCAGTTTGGCGTTGATAGTGCCAGGATCATGGAGGCTAATAGATTCGAGAATGATAGTGTTATCTTCCCGTTTACTCAACTTTTGGTCCCTCTCGATAGCCAGAGTTGTGAAGCAAATCCTGACGGTTTCTTCTGCAGCTGTAGTGTAAATCCTGGAATCTGCATTCCCGACAAGAAAAAGTTCCCTCTCAAGTTGGTTATACTGCTAGGTACGAATCTATATCTCTCTTGTAATCAGCGTTGGTGAAAATTCCTGAAAGTTTGATATTAGTAGGGCCAATTTATGATTACGACTTACAGCGTGCATTCAATTTCAGAAATTTAGGGTGAGGATTCTTTTAGAATTTGAGGATCAATGACCAGTGATTCTAAAGATCAGTGATTTAAAGCAATCCAATATATCATGTCTATTTCTTGGCAAGATGGTGACAACTGGTAGATATGAACTTCTATTGTGAAAATGTTAGATATGGTAATATATGGAGTGACTTGTTAGTCCTGGCCTAGTTTGTTCTAGAAGTAGAGCTAAAGTCAGCATCTTGGGGCAATCCAATTCGAGATGGTCCATTAATTATCGGGCAATAATTCAAAAGGATCAGTAAGTAGTTCAGAGCTCTCAATCTAATTGTCAGGTCCAGTTTATTCATCAAGTTTCTGATGATTTGTCCTATCAATCTCAGGACCTGGGATTGGAATTGGACTATTGGCCACATTCCTGATCTTCTACAAACTGATTCAGTACCTCAAAAAGAAAAGAAACAGAATCCACAAACAAAAACTGTTCAAGCAAAATGGTGGCGTCTTGCTACAGCAGAAGCTCAATTCATACCCAGGAAGCCATGAGAACTCAAAGCTATTCACCGAAGAGGAGCTGAAAAGAGCTACTGACAACTACAACCAGAGCCGCTTCCTCGGCCAAGGAGGGTTCGGGACAGTCTACAAAGGAATGCTTCCAGATGGAACCATAGTTGCTGTCAAGAAGTCTAGAACCATTGACAAGACACAGATTCAACAATTCATAAACGAGGTTGTCATTCTGTCCCAGATCAATCACAGACATATTGTTAAGCTCTTAGGCTGTTGCCTTGAAACTCAGTTCCCATTGCTTGTCTACGAGTTCATCCCCAATGGTAGTCTCTCAAGTTACATCCATAGCCAAAATATGGATGGAGAAGAAGTTTCGGCGTCTTTTCCATGGGAAGATCGATTCAGAATCGCAGGGGAAGTTGCTGGAGCTGTGGCTTACATGCACTCCGCAGCTTCATTTCCCATCTTCCATCGTGACATCAAGTCATCGAACATACTGTTGGATGCCAAGTTGAGTGCCAAAGTAGCGGATTTTGGTACTTCTAGATCAGTTCCCGAAGACAAGACTCATCTTACTACCGGGGTAATTTCTGTACTCTCAGACTACTTTGCGTAATATTGTTTGTTCATGACAGAATTTTAGTATTCAGACATAAAAATTCAATGTTTTTCAGTTAGTATATTTTCATTTTTCAGTGGAATGGATACTAAACATGCTCTAGTTCTCGTCCAATTCTTTTCATTCTTACTTTCCCCCTCTCAACAGGTACAGGGCACGTTTGGGTACTTGGATCCAGAGTACTTCCGCACGAGCCAGTTCACAGAGAAGAGCGATGTGTACAGCTTTGCTGTCGTTCTTTTGGAGCTTATGACTGGCCAAAAGCCCATTTTATTCACTACAGGTGAAGAAGAGAGGAGCCTTATCGCACATTTCATTTCATCAATGAAGGAAAACCAGGATGGCCTGGCGGAGATATTGGACCCTGTGGTCAGTACAGAAGCCAGGAAAGAGGATGTGGAAGCCATTGCAGAGCTAGCTGTGAGGTGTTTGAGATTGAACGGGAAGAAAAGGCCTACAATGAGAGAGGTGGCTATGGAGCTTGATGGGCTGAGGAACTCAAAAAGGAGATCGCAACTTGATCAAGAAGATTCCTTTGTGGATAGAACATACAGTAATCAGCTTGATGCTGAAAGAGAAGAGTCCATTGAGGACAGCTTTGCTATCTCTGTAGAGCTTGAATCCGTCTGAAACTTATTAGTTCTTGTTTTGTTTGGATAGTTTTTTTGTTCTTCCTTTTTTTTTTATAGCTTTTGATCAGTGGTTTAATTCAGTTCGAGTTGGATGAGATGAACACTATACGTCATCATAAGTGTATAGTGTTGCTTTCATCAAATTATACTCCAGCTTTCTCAACAAGACATAAGTCTTTAGGCCATGCAATAGGGCAATGCATTCCGAAAGGGTTCATCCAGTTTTAGAAATGTGCTTACTTAACGAGATACACTCTAAAAAGTATAACTGTTACAGTAAGAAGGGGCAGGAGTTAGGGAAACGAGTACCTTCAGTTTCCGGGACAGCTTGTGCAACCTGAGTCTGTTGGGAAAGCAACTCATTTTGAACCCAAATAATCTCAAAGATATCAAAATGTCTGCATCCATTGTAGTCCTCAGAAGTTTACTGCACAAAATTGAAGCTCAAACAAACAAAAGACTAGTTAGCAATGTTAAACTCTTACCAGACAGATACACAAGCAGCATGACCAATAAATCAATGCATTCAATATGATGCTTAACTCTTACCAGGCAGAAGAGATTCCAATACCCACATTGAAATTTGGATATTTGAGCCAGTTGCTTCTTCATCAGGAGCTGGTTATAGAAAAGCTTTCCCTCAGCGGCAAAACATCAAACACCTGGTGCTCACCGCCAAGTGACTGTAACGGAGATCCAAAATTAGTCACGCCGAGTACATTACCTTGATCAAGGAGGGGAAGAGAATCATATATGCAACAAAGAGAACAGAACCCAAGCGAGCAGTTGAAGCAATAGGAAACGGGATTCTGCGCGACTCGCCTCGATGTTGGTTCTCCGGCGATTCCCCTCGATGATCAGAAGAGCGGGTTTTGAATCGCCTGAACATATTATGCCCCATGTTCCCTCCACCGGTTGGTCGGCGAAGGAATCGAGTATTGGGATTGGCGGGTAGCGGCTGAGTTGTGGTGTTTGAGGTCGCTAGAGGCTGAGGTTTTCCGAAAGGACTGTTCTTTGCTTCTGGCGGGAAATCGAAGCTTATGATCGTCAGTTGGGGTTAAATTCTCCCCATGGTCACCGTTCTTTTCCATTATTTCTCCCAATGTTCTTATTACTGACAGTTTTAGTCCCTATATTATGATGTTATAGCAATTAGCAAACAAGGCAAAAATAACAAAACAAAAGTACACATTTCATTTTCTTTCAGACTTTTTCTTGTGTCTATACTCTATAGCTATTACATAAATGAATTTGAATATAAAAATTAAATACTATTACTAAAAAGAACACGAATTCGTCTAGGTAATACAGATTAAGGCTATAACAATTTTATTGTTTAATTCAACTTAAAGTTCTTGAGCAGGAAGACGAGCAATCATTCACAGCTTTCTCTGCTATTTTCTCAGCTTCAGCTTCACTCCTAACTCCCAAAGCTGCCAACACAACAATTATAGAGCTTAATTAGCTTAATACATTATGATAAGAAAAATAGCCCGACATAGGGTGCTTGATCGATAATAATTAACAAAAGATTATCACACTGCAACTTAAGATCGATGATTACCTGATAGATTATGAGTGGTGAGAGAAGTAGCGAGGCATCCTAGATTGCAGAACTTAAGGTTATTGTTATTGACGTTGACACCAGCAACAACCGTACTAGGAGGATCTGTGAAAAAACAATTACCTCCACAGCTGACGGTGCAGAGAAGATCGTAACCACATAATTTTATGCATTTCAGAAAACATTGTTGGTAGTTTGCATTTGATGGCTCCACCATCATCCCCATCACAAATATTATCCCCAAAAACAAAGACTTGTAACTAATTGCCACTCTTCCACTCTCCATTTTTGTGTACTTCTTCTCCTCTCTTTTTTAGTTTCAAGCTCAATGTTGTTGTTATAAACTTTTCTTGGTGTGCATATTTCACAATGGAAGGTGAGAGTTTATATACCCACTTGTAAAATGTTGTATTTAGAATGTGAGTTTAAATGATGGCATGATTTGGGGAATTAAATGAGAAAAAGAATCAACTAAGAGGGGAAAGATTATTAATATTTTTATCATATGATGACAATTAATGTGAAATATTTTCCTTCTTTTGAGTGCAATGCATTCACTTTTGTTCCTTGTTGGGATATTTTGAAATATAAATTTTGGGATGTGTAGTTCTTTTCGTATTGATGTTTAAATTAGAGTCACTTTATCGTTTGATATCTTAAAAGATTTTCCAGCAAATTAGATAGTAATGTTTGAAATTTCACACTACGGATTTTGTGTATTGCTAATTAGGTTGTTCTGAACACATAAAAATCTACGATTGACTTGTAATTTGCTAACTTGAGGGTAAGGGTTTCGATATAAACTCTACTTTTCTACAAATGCCAGACTGTTTGGGCAAAAGACCTCACATCATCAATCAATCCCTCTAATATAATGTCAGTAATCATTTTGTCTCAATAACCCACCTTTGGAGTTAGCAACGTTTAACCCTTACTAGTTACCAGTACATAAATTATATGAATAAGATTGGCAAAGTCCCTTATGGGATGAGCGAAATTGGGTATGCAATGACACGCATATAATACACTGATTTTGATAGATCGACCGATTTCACAGAAATCACATCAATTAGTTTTGAAACTAATATAATAGTCTTAACATGTCTTAACGAGAAATCCAAACACAATGAAGTTCAAGGAATTTAAAACCCGATAGCTCGGTAGGAGAGTAAAATCGATCGAGACAAAAAGGAACAAACAAAGAGGGCCTAAATCACTTGCCATTATCATTAATTACTTCAATTTCCATTTTCCCTTGACGACGAAACAAGAAAGTTGACTAAAAACAATAAAATCACACGAGTTGTTATGTGTGTACGTACATAGTTGAACAAACAGTAAAAACTCCTCTTACCTGGCTCAAAATTAAATATTATTCACCTCGCGAAAACAAAACGAATAAAGCAACTCAATATATAAAACGATCACTCGTGCAGAACATGAGAACAAATTAGGGACTTCTCATACTCGTATAATACACTGATTTTGATAGATCGACCGATTTCACAGAAATCATATCAATTAGTTTTGAAACTAATATAATAGTCTTAACATGTCTTAACGAGAAATCCAAACACAATGAAGTTCAAGGAATTTAAAACCTGATAGCGCGGTAGGAGAGTAAACTCGATCGAGACAAAAAGGAACAAACAAAGAGGGCCTAAATCACTTGCCATTATCATTAATTACTTCAATTTCCATTTTTCCTCGACGACGAAACAAGAAAGTTGACTAAAAATAATTATATCACACGAGTTGGTATGTATGTACGTACGTACATAGTTGAACGTTAAAAACTCCTCTTATCTGGATCAAAATTAAATATTATTCACCCCGCGAAAACAAAACGATCAAAGCAACGCAATATATAAAACGATCACTCACGCAGAACATGCGAACAAATTAGGGACTTCTCATACTCGTATCAATGCTAAACATAAAACCACCTTTTCTTTTTTTGACAATATAATTAATATACAAAACCGACATGTTATATTTGAAAAGGGAAAAAAAAGAGGAAGTCAACTCCTCATTCTTGTTAATTGTATTTCCTAATTACACTCAATACCCAAACAAGAAAAAGGAAGGATAGTAAATAAATATAACTGAATCACAATTCGAGTTATCCTTCTTTAACAACAAAGGAAAAAATATTACAGGTACCAAAAGTGTAATTAAACCAGCGCGCTTTTGCCTTAATTATGACGGTGTAACGCTCTATCCACCAACTTAATAATCTCCCCCTATATAAACAACAGGGAGCGTCGAATTACATTTGTAAAAAAAAGAAAAAAAAAATTTACAGAGAGCAATGGCTATCAACATTACTCACTACTAAACACCATGGAAGAACAATATTCACCCGCCGCCGCCACGACGATCACCGAATCCGACATCCAGGCGGCGGAGCAGTTGATGGAACTCAGCAACAGCGACGGCGCCGGGACTGCTTCTGTCTTCCCCCGTGACGAGAGTAACTCCGCCGGCAGCGTCGTCAACCTCGCGGGAAATGCTGATAAGAGGAACAAGACGGCGGCGGCAAAGGAGGAGGAGATGGTCAGCCGGCTGCGGTGGAAGAAGAAGAAGAGGAAGTGGCGGTCGTTGGAGAGCATTTACAGCTCCACCGTCCCGATCAAATTAACTATTATTTAGTTATATGTATCTCGATAGTTTTCCTTAGCTTAATGTTAGTTATTTTCTATCTTCTGTTTTGTACTGTAAATTTCGTTGAATGGTTTGAAGTACGCGTTGCGTAATTATACAATTGCTTAAAGCGCAAGGTAAAACCACGAGAACGGATAACGCGTTGCCCTCCGGTGTTGTTCCTCGTGTTCTCCGATCGATTCGAGCCGAGTCCTTGAGAATACACATACCCGTGTAGCAGTTAATCGTGACGTGATGGTTGGACGCCTCGTTCTCTCAAGAGCGAAAATCGTACGTTTCGGTATATTGTAGCAGAGTCGAAATCAGCATGCAGTTGCTTGAACAACAAGGTTCCCCTGTTCATGAAAAGAATTGATATACCAACTGCTCTTATCTATTATTCCTAAGGAAAATTTTCCACAAAGATGATAAAAGAAAAAAATGAAGATGTACAAGTTTTCTTCTGTCTGCTATGCCTTGCTCTAAAAGGAAGAAGAAGATGTAAAAAAAAACAAGAGGCAAAAACTGCAAGCACCATTGTAAAATGGGAGACATTCGCTTCACCAGAAGAAAAAACATCCCATGGCAGATGTACTACTACGTTCGCGAAACGAACTCGCGAACTGGTCTATACCGTGTCTACCTCAGGCTGCTGATGCTTGGACCGGACCATTGAGTCTCGTGTAGCTACTGCGACCACCACCACGTTCACGGCCTCTCCCCCTCCCACGTCCACGTCCTGCAAAGACACAAGTGAAACCCTTCAAGTTTGAATACATCCAGGATCCAAGAAAATAAGTGAAAGTGAGAAAGCTACGATCCATGGAATGATCAGCTTCGTTGGAGTTCAGTGCTGCTGTTCATCGAAAACTTACCACGAATTTGGGGCACATATGTTTCAGGTTCACCATAGTTGTCATAGTACCCTCCTCCTTGCTGACCACCACCATAGCCTCTCCCTCTTCCCCTTCCCCGCCCTCGCCCTCCGAAGAAACGACCACCTCTTGCTCGGCCTCGCCCTCGTACTTCATAGCCATGCCCACCATCCCAACCATCATCGTCGTTATAGTCTCCTACACTGTTGTAATTGACTACAAAAACACAGGAATTGAATGGAATTATCACACAGTCAGCAAGCACTACAGCAAATGCTATACAGAACAACAGGGTTCAAAAATCTTTGATATTTTTTTGGTTCTTGTGATCTCTCATTCATGAGTGAAGTGGACTAAATCGAAGTCGATAAGTGAATACCTCGACCTCTTCCTCTCGCTCTACCACGCCCTCTACCTCGCATCATCGGTGATCCTTCTGAATTACATGACAAATAATGAGACATGGGAACCAAACACATTTCCATACAAGTGCAAAGAGCTTCCAAAAAAAGAACAAAAAAAAGGCAAATCCATGTCGTTTTTACCGCCATCATCTTGGATTTCGTTCATTATTGGTTTCACTTGTTCAATCGGGAGAGGAGGTTGATACCTGCAAGTATGACCCAAATCAAAAGAACTCAGGACAGATAGGTCATTGAACTTATACTCTCAGACACAGGATTCAGAGAGACTATTAATCAACGTGAACCTTCTTAACCCGAAACTAACATGCTAGAGAATGATGAAGAAACGAATTAAACTACTGAGTTCACAGACAGACATCATCAATCATTCGCCATAGAATCACCACGACTATCACTTGAATGAGAAAAAAATTACATCTCCAGGGTTAGAGTTTACCCTGTAGATGATGTATCGAGCTCCTTCTTCGACAAAGTGATTGTGATCATCGAAACATGTCGCGTCGTCTCCAGACTGTTCAACAAACGAGCAAGAACACACAGAAGTACAAACCATAAACATACATGGCAAAACTAATCGCTGTTCTCAATCCCAGCAAACATTAACAAGCTTCACCACATACGGAAGAAGGCCTTCTTCTAGTGGCTCCCAAGTATCAGTTATATCAGTCGATCCAATACCGGTAATCTGATGCAGACCAACAATCCTTCTCTGATCATCAACACAACAAATCTCCATAAGCTTACAACGAAATCGAAGAGCGCGTAAAACGGGTTGGAAAAATGGTTGAAGTAAGAGACCTTGATTATCTCCGCGATCATCACAGTCTTATTGATAGCTCTGCCCATTGCTTTAAGCACAATCTCACTCGACCCTTTCTCCTGGAAACACATAAAAAGCTCCAAACTTTACCAAACAAACGAGGGAAAGAAAGACAACCCATGTAATAATCAAATGAATGAAGAAAAGGGTTGTAGGTGGGAAAAACAAAAACCTGGAGAAGCGCGGTGGCATAACTGATGTAATTCCGCATGCGGCCTTGAGTAGTGATTCGGATCTCATTCTCGTTTATTGGGGTCTCAGCCTTGGGCTTCTCCACCCTCTGGTACCTATCCATCTTTTTCCCCCAATAATAACTTCCAATCAAATTCCAGGGGAACCAAACAGAGCATCAGAACCCAGAAAGAAAATTGAAGATAGGAGATTTACCTGAGGGAGAGGGCGAGTTCCCGGAGGGAAGGGGGGTTTCCTCTGTTTTCTTCTTCTTCCTGGTCTAGTAATTTACAGATTGGTGAAGAGGAAAGGGGGGAAGGGATTGAAGGCGTTTTTGTAAGAGATGAGAAAATGGAGAGTGTAGAGAGAGAGAGAGGGTTGAGAAGAGTGTGGGGAGTGAGAGTCAGCGGGAAATGGTAACTGTAAGGAGCGAAGAAGACGAGGGAATTTGGGTGGTTGGGAGAATGGAGTGGGCAACTGAACGGAACAACTGAGATAACTGATAAATCTCTGTCTAATCTACATTAACTAACTAACTAACCAACTAAATCTAGTTTATAGTGTCTTAATTTATATCAAGTTGTGTTCTTTAGAACTCTTTTGACATTACTAAAATAATGTCAGATTGAATATCGATAAACCGGTAACTTGATTGAGAAGGTATCATAGTCGAAACTCGTAGTGAACCGAATATAATTAAATTAAACTTGCAGTCATTGCCATTAAACAAAAAGAGCGAACTAACTAACAAACTAAATCTCTATCTAGTTTGTCTAGTGTCTTTTAGTTTATATAATTTTTGTTTGTAAATAGTAATCATCTTTCCTATTAAGTTGTGTTTCTTTAGAACACTTTGACATCACTAAATGACTAAAACAATGTTAAAAATAATAAATATTGATAAACCGTTAGCGATTAATCTTAGTTTAATTAAGAAGATACTGAATTCGAGACTTGTATTATATGGTTATGTAATATCATTCATATATTGTTAGATTTAACTCGTAGTAAATGAATACTTTGTCACAACCATTGAACACATAGAGCTAACAAATCTAATTAGAAGGAATCTTTAGTATTACCATACCAATGGTACGGCTTCTTTTCTCAAAACCGAGTAGCTCAAGCCAATAAGATAAATGAACAACGTTAACTCACACGACGATGGGCTACCCTTTTCGCACCCATAGGCGAAGGCAGGGGCATTAGCCCTTGTCACGGGACAGGGGCAAATTTCGGAGTGAAAAAAAAAATACCCATATATATTTATATTGATGATGGAACAAACAATTAAAGGTGGTATTATAGTATTTTATCAGTACAACACAACGACAATTCCACTAGTTTTGATTCTACCAATTTGCAACTACAAGTGCAGAAAGAACATTTTCAGCTTTGAGTTATATTAAGAACAAGTTTTGAAGTCGAATTGGCGACCAATTTGCTAATGATTGTTTAGTGCGATAGATTAAAAGAGACTTACTTAACATTGTAGACAACAAATGTTTTGTGTTTTTTTCACAATATGAAATTCCGTCGTGGTTGCTTATGAAAACAGTGATTTTATTAGTCGATTATTTTTTATATGTGAATTATTTGGATAATTAGTTGTAATTTTATGTATTAAATAATTATTTATTAAATATTTATATATTTATATTATGAAAAGAGGACATGGTAGTTTCAAATCCTGGCTCCGCCGCTGTTCGCACCCGAGTTATTTTACTCTATGCATTGTGGTTGAACAATTGCATGCTAGACATATGATTAACGTAGTTTGGGAAAACGCACAACGGGGTTTACAGGACAAAAATAAAAACGGAAGAGATCATATACTCTGTAGTCTGTAGTCAGCTCCTTCTCCAACTTCAGACAGAGATCGTAAGAATGGCTGGATTTTAGAATCTTAATATCTTATCGCGTTGCCTTATACAACCCCATAGCTCTCCCGCCAAAAAAAACCTTTTAAATCCCATCTAAAGAGAGCCCTAAACTTCAACTTTCAACACAGGCAAGGTAAGCAAAACATGACTTGTACACCAATCTTCGCCGGTACCATCATACCATGGCAATAAATTGAGATATAAATAACTTGATTTACTTTCTACAGTACAAAAATGACTACATCTCTAGTATTGTATTAAGGTACAAACTCAGCACATCGTCTCCATAGTACATCCGAGGCAGAGAAGCAAGCGATTCCCCTCAGTTTGCAAACGCTTCTGCTCTAGACAACCGCCGAGATAGGAGCTATGCCAAGGAGAGCACTTTCTAGTCCTAGTGGCTATTGGGGAACTTGGCTTCATATTCATGGGGCGGCTGCAAATTCGAATTGAACAAATGAGACTTTGAGGCATCTTAACCCTGAATACGTACGAAGGAAACCAGGATAAACAACTATTGATTACCATGAAAGTTGCTGAGATTGATCGTCGAGCAAACCACCTCATATGCATTGCAGCCTGAGCTCTGGCGGCTGCTTCCACGGTATCAAACCGTAAATACACAAACCCTGCGCTATTCCTGTAAAAAAGGCAGATAATAAATGAGATGAACAAGTTTTTCGCACAAGCTGACACTAGGGAGAAAGTTAGAAATAATCATATTGCAGGAAGTTGAGACAAAATCAAATAGTAGGCACTTTTTTTTTTTTATTTCTGTCACAAATATTTTAGGCATTTGATCCAAACGTGCATGCTAATCCACCGTCACAAATTTCAATACCCTCGATACACCATAATTAAGTTCGGACTTCATAGTATTTTTGTTTCTTAATGAGTTAATCCAGACACTGCCATCTTTAAGCAACCAAATGAACCAGTCCATAAAGAAATATCTGATTCTATCTCATCTAAACCAACTTGGCGGTTTCTAATATAATATTTTTTATACCTTCTATTATTGCAGATTCTAACCTAAATCATTCATTAAACATGAAATGAACCACCTAAGAAGGCTGTTATGCTTACTTCTCAACATATATATGTTTCACGTGTCCGTATTTTGAGCATTCTTCTTCGACATCGTCCTTTATGTCCACATCAAAATCTGGTTCAGTCTGAGAAGAGACATTAGCAGATATATCAGAGTTCATCCAACAAAAATTTCAAATAAAATAGTAGGAGAGGAGAAGAAACAATTCACATACCTCGGTGGAAGGATCAAACATGTTTTGCAACAATAAGCACACACTGGGTTTTCCAATAGATTCAAAGGCTGGAGAAGGCAAGACATGAACTGGAAGAGCTCCACGAAGTGCAGCTTGACCGTTCAGTTGCAAGGCCATGGTTTGTGGATTTTGAGCAGAGCCATTAAGCATAGGCACTCCAAGGGAACCAGAAATACTGGAGAAACAAAGGTCAATTTTAAGTGCTTAAACAATATCCGCAAAAAAAGCGAGCAAACCAGATAATATTGCGGATGGAATACAGACCTCGTGGCAATGCCAGAGCGATCCAGCTTCTGCATGAGCATAGCTCTTGATTGAGCATTTAAAGACTGCAAGATAAAACTACTACGAATTAGTCAAAAGACATTTGTGAGGTTCCATTCTACAATGATAGAATTGTTAATCCCCGTCAGAAAAGATTTGTGCCATTCTCTGCCATTGAGTGCATAATGGATAGTCAACATACGACTCATACAATAGGGAAAAGGTAAAGAGAGGACTCAACTTTGCAGTAATTAAGTTTCCATGTGAAACTTTAAACATAATTAATACAGTCGGGTGTAAGTACGACAAGAACCATATCTGGCTAGGCCAAGGAAACACCAAGTACGTACTATGTTTTGTGGTTGTGAATTGAGAAGATAATAAATGTCTATTAATCACTTCCGTAGAAACTATAACAGATTAGGACTTTGTCAAGGGTAAAGCAAAACAAACTGACCAAACCACCACCATCATCGTCATCAAAGTCAGCAGATTTAGCCCCAGGCTCTTGCGGCCCTCCATGTTCCGTGACAGAGGAAACCTAGCATATACACAACAACAAAATCGGAAGTTGTTATTGGCTCTTAAACAAAATGTCCCTATAAATTGATGAAGTAATAAAGTGCAAATGATGTATATCCTAAGGTTGAAGCCAACCTTTAAGGTCCGTCCAGCAATCTCCAGTTTCCCATTCAAATGTGTTTGCGCTTCCTTTGCACTTTCCACTTGAGCAAACTGCAGGGTAAAAACCATTACAAAGAGTGCCAACAGGTATTAACCAACCATTGAACAAATTAGAAGCTTTTACTAACTTGAACAAACCCAAATCCTTTGCACTGTCCCGTTTCAAGGTCAAGGGGTAGCTGAACAAGCTCCACAGTTCCAAATGGCTCAAAAAGCTGAAACATTACCAGCCAAGAAAAATGAGGTGTTACCAGATGACCGAAGGTAGCAGCTCTTAGAACGTACTAGCAACAATGAAATCAAAGTTTATCCATGTAACCATTACCTGTCTTAGCTGCATTTCCGTCATGTTGAAGTGCAAATTCCCGACATATAGTTTTCTGTCCACAGGCCCATAGGGGCCAGTAGTGGCACCTGTAGCATTTGACTGAACAAGATTCTTTTCCGCCTCAGAAGGCTTCACCATCACAGGTTGTCCAAAGAGTGGCTGGCCAGAAAGAGCTATTGCCATTGGAACAGACATCACGTCATAGAACTCGATATACCTGCAGGTATTTACAAATAGTAACTAACTTGTTAGAACAAAATAGAAGAAACAAATCCTAAGCAGCACTTACAAAGCATCCAGTAAAGAGATTAAGAGAAACTAAAACTGAGTACAGAGAGCTCATTGCTGAGTTTCTTTCTGCAAATCTGATTTCCGTCATTTATAATTTGTTAGCCCATAACAGGAAAGAGTAAAGTAATCACTGACCAAAATAGAGCCAAATTAAAAACCTGACATAATCAACAAAGATAATAAGCTATGTAAAAATAAAGGCATTTTCCCAGTTTGACAAGAGTTGAGGAAACTGCAGGGAACACAGTGAAGGAGCTCCAGTTGCTAGCTATCCTAACCAGAAAAAGTGTTTTATATACCATTCAAATCATAAGAGGCATGATTAAGAAGCACGGAAGAAAAAAGATGTTTCAGAGGTGTCTTGTCCCACTTCTATTCCACTTTCTCTTGACAGACGAGAAACCAAAAGAAAGAACTTCACAGGGAGGCAAACAGAAAGTAGAGAAAGCTCATATGAAACTGCTTCTACAAGGACCAAGAATCCATGAGACCAAAGTTATCGTCTTCACGTAGATACACTCATCAGGGAATTAAGAAAGAAAGCAAAAGAACAAACTTCAAGTGTATGTCATCTACCTTGAGTGCGCAGCATGAATTGATTAAACATGAGTGCAAGGTATTCCCATCATCCATCATCATTATCGCATTGCTAGTGCATTTAAGAATACAGTTAAACTTGATTCTTGAAAGCAACATGCTGGTAACTTATTAGAGCATAATAAGATTTAGAATTTGCATACCCAACTCCTTTTGATCTCCTTGAGTTCCTGTCCATTATCAATCTAACATCCCTCACCTGAAATTTCAAGGACATAAATGGTTGATGATGATGAAGATACGATGAGCACCATGATGGGTATAACACTTCAAAGGGCATCCAAGAAAATGCTGCAACCCATTTCTGAATGTTCCATGAATTTAACAAAAAGGTAATTCGATTGCATGGATTCTAAACTTAGCTACACATCTAGTATTTTGATATACAATACAGTCCTCAACAGAAGACTAATAACATATATAGTGTAGAAAAAACAACCAACACAACTGACAGTGAGGCAGTGAGCCAAGAAGGTTTTCCGATCGGCAACTGCCAATACTTGCACACAAGCAGAATTTTATAAAAAGTAACGCAAAATAGAAGATAAGACACAAAATCAACCTCAATCTGACAGCCGATGAAATATTGGCAGAAGTAGGGATTGCAAATGAACAGGGGAAAAATCACTAACCTTGCCCGCCTTGGAGAAGAACTCATACACATCTCTCTCGGTAGCCTTCAAAGGCATCTTCAAGGATTAATTCGAAAACAAAATAAGTTTTAGTATTTCGCACGAGAATGGTAATATTCAGGCCACAATGTGATTCTACAGAAGGGTGTCCAATCAAATACCCTACCTGATAGGCAAATACAGTTCTCTGGTCCCTCTCAGGGTCAGCTTCAGGCTCCACAGCTTCTTTCTTATCTTTGACCCTCCTGTCACAAGAAACAACTCCGAAGAATAATAAGAATACAGCGAAAGTAGATGAGCCTGCATAGGCACAAAACAATAGCCATAGCCAGCCGATAACCATTCCCGCCTAACACATCTGCAGAATGTGGAACATCTATTTGGCTCTACATTCTCTTAACAAGGAGACCAAAGTTTAAGCAGTCAAGTCAGGTAACCTCATTGTTCCCAAAGTACTTGTAAGCCTATGGTGACAGTGTGAAACCTACAAGGTACAATCAACCATTACAATCTTCTCGACAAGTTCAGAACTTCCCACATAAAGAGTAAGTATCCAAATTGGAAGCTAACAGGGTGGCAATTCAAGACCTCATAGCAGGATTCCATTCCAAAAACCAATAATGAAGATTGAAGAACAGAGAAATCAAATAAAATGGCCAGGCACCTGCTACCGCTGTCTCGCAGCTCGACATCCCTTTCTCTCTCCCGCACTTCCTTCTCCCGATCACTGTAACGACTCCTGCTCCTCTCCCTCCTCGACTTGCTCCTGCTACGACTTCTTTCTCTCCTGCTCTTGCTCTCGCTTCTGCTCCTCTCCCTCTTCTCTCTTCCTTCCTCTCGCTCCTTATCCCTGTCTCTCCTATCCTTCTCCTTATCTCTGTCCTTCTCTCTATCTCTGTCCCTGTCGCGGCGGTGGCGATCCTTCTCCCTCCCGTTCTCTTCATCCTTGCCCCCTCTCGATCTCTTCCGGCTCGCCGTCGCATCCTCGTCGGCGGCATCCCGCTTCCTGTAACTCCGCTCGCTCTTCTCGACGCCTTCGCGCTTGCTCTTCTTGGCGCTCCCGTCTCGATCCTCCGCTTCTTCGACGGTCTTCTCTAGATACTCGATCTCGTCGAAATCCATGGTTGCTTGTTTGTTCTTCTGACTGAGCAGATGGCTTTCTCGAGTGAATCTTCGGGGTACCGATAAGAGAGAAAGGTCGGGGGTGGGTTAATTGGGGGAAATTGGAGATTTTTTATTTTATTTTAGGGTTTTGCGGAGGGTTTGGATAAATTACAATGCTGGTCATTGCAATTATAAGTTATTTCATATTTGTCACCAGAAAAAATTAAATCATACATTAATTACATTACTCATCGTTTCCACAATTCCACCAGTTTCTTTGCCCCCGGCCACCAAACCTCCTCCGACCGCCACACTTTCTCTGGTGAATTCCATCGGAATACAAGGTGGAAAGGACTCAATGTTCAGAGAGACTGCCTCAAGCGAAGAAACCACTCGAATGCCAAGCGCGTGGCGAATGATCTCGCCGGGAGACTGCTGACGGTAGTACCTCCGAAATCGACCGCGACCTCGAGCGGCGATCCGTAATCGGTGGTGCCGCCGCCCAGCGCCAACGTTAGCAACATTCCCGAAGTCTTCCATCGCGATCTGGAGTTCAGCGGGCCGGAGAACTAGCAGCGAGAACCTGGCCGAATCCAACGGCGCCTTGCCGTTCTCGTAGTACAGAGAAATCCTCCGGGCTGAGGCGGCGGCGAATCCGGCGAACTTTTTCGTGCCATGCGTCGAACCGGTCGAACACCTCGGGGGCGAAACTCAGCACCGGGTAAGTTCGCAATAGATGGATCATTGCTCTCTTGTTCAAGCTCGCCTATTTTTCCTTGCTTCCTTGTTTTTCCCCCTAATAATGGCTGAAATCATTCGGATCCCAGTTGCAAAACAAATCCTTGGCAAGGCTGCCGACTTGGCCTTGGAGCAGATTGGTTTCCTGTGGAATTTTAGACATGAGCTCAAGAAACTCAAGGACACTGTCTCCACCATTCAGGCTGTGCTTCGTGATGCAGAAGAGAAGCAGTCCCACAATCATCAAGTCAAACTCTGGCTCGAGAAGCTATCTGACGTGATGTATGATGCCGATGATTTGTCTACCGAGGCCTCGTCGGATAGCGATAGAAGAAGCAAATGAAGGTATGAGAACTACGATGACCACTAGTTGTTGGAGTATGGTATGCTTTCTGTTCTCTTACTTCCCAAACAATTGGTGTATGATCTTAAGATGGCTCATGCTATCAAGGCTGTTAGGGAGAAGATTGATGTTATATCACAAGATAAGGAGACCTTCCATTTGGAAGTTCATAATGAAGACTGAAGAGGAAGGTATTCCTTTCAGGGAGACGGATTCTTGCCCACCCACGATTGTCGTTGGGAGAGAAGATGACAAGAAGAATATAATTTGGTTACTGCTGTATTCTTATGGTGAAGCTAACATTTCTGTTGTCCCAATTGTTGGGATGGGTGGCTTGGGGAAGACCACTCTCTCTCAGACCGTGTTGACTGACAACCGGGTTAAAGCTCACTTTGATATCAAATTTTGGGTCTATATATCACATCACAGAGCTTTGATGTGAAAGCTATTCTTGGAAAGATATTGCAATCAATCAGTTCGGAAAGTCGAGTTGATCTTCCATTAGAAAATATGCAAACTCAGCTTCAAGAGAATATCAAAGGAAAGATTTTTTTGTTTGTGTTGGATGATGTTTGGGAGGAGAATGAGAACAAGTGGCAGAGTCTGGGAAAATATTTGACGATTGGCAGCCCAGGAAGCAAAGTGTTAATTACCACTAGATCCACTAAATTAACAGAGGTAGGAGGCAGCACATTGAAGTCAGGAACAAGTTCAATAATAATTGAACCTTATTGCTTGAAAGACTTGTCAGAAGAAGAATCATGGAGTTCCTCTTGCTGTGAGCACCATAGCTACTATGTTATCAGGTCCAAAAGATCCCAAACCGAGTGGCCGTCACTAAAGACAAAGATCCTACAATGTCAGCACTCCAACTCAGTTTCAATCATCTCCCTTCTCATATGAATGAAGCATTGTTTTGCTTACTGTAAATTGTTCCCATCGGGAATTCGATTAATCGTCTCCCTTCTCAGTGTGAGTTATTTTTCTCTTGCAGCAGTATTTGCATAATAGGATGAAATATCTCGATGGACAGAAGGCTGAGGGGGAAAAATCCTTATACTCAAAAGGTCTCTGTTGCCCTGAGTATTGCTGAGTATGTAGAGAAGTTTGGGAACTTGAACACTGGGAAACATCTCAAAGAAACTTACTGAAAGTTTGCCTGGTATGTCAATATTTTCTTTAACTTATATATTTTACATTCCACATTTTCGAGTAAATATCTTCCAAACATATGCTAGTTAAAAACACTTTCAAAGCTACTAAAAAAAATCAATCATCTCACCTCCCTTCGTCTTCGTGTGGACTGATCAAGAAATGATTTTCTTGTAGAGACGAGCCTTGTGACTACTTCATTCATACTAATTCTCTCTTGTGGGATGTCCGAAGAGCAAGCAACACCGATTTCCAAAATGGAAATCAAAATTTCCTCTGCTTTTGGGCTACTGGTTTTGTTGGTGACCTTTGAACTAGTACTACTGTTGCTACGAATGGTATTGTTGTGGGTCGTCCGACCGATATGTAGTTCATTCAATAGAACTGGATCCAAAAGTTCTGTTACCAGCTTCTCGGAAATAGCAGTTCTGACGAATCTATGAATGGTGAATCCTTCTTGAAAAGCCTCGTCAGTTGGTTTCCGTCCAGTAAACATCTCAAGCAAATGAACTCCATAGCTATATACATCTCCCTGTACAGAGACTTCATGTCCCATACCATATTCTGCCATGTATATTGAGTAGAAGATTAGGGGGGGAAAATTAATGGAAAGCTTTGTATTTCATCATTTTTAGGATGAGGAGAGGGTAGGGATGACCATTCGTCACTTTACCTGGAGGAGCGTAGCCAACAGTTCCCTTTATACCGATGGAGCTTGAAGCCTCGCAAGTCGAAGAATCAGCAACTGATGGAAGGAATCGCGCCAATCCAAAGTCACCAACATGGCCTACCAAGTCCTCGTCAAGAAGCACATTACTGGGCTTCAGATCACAGTGAACAATCGGTGTGCCACATTGATGATGAAGATAATTCATCGCATAAGCTACATCTATGGAGATGTTTAGCCTCTGGATGAAGTTTAGGCTCCTTGGAGGTTCATCTCCACTTTGCACTGGATGCAGCCAATCTTCCAGGCTTCCATTAACCAAGAACTCATAAACGAGAGCCTTGAAGTCATTTCCTTGATGATCAACACCTGAACACGCTGTTAGTACTTTCACGAGATTTCTGTGCCTGATATTCTTTAAGGCTGCACATTCTGCCATGAAACTCTTGGATGCTCCACGACGCTGGAGGTTGAACACTTTCACTGCAATGGTTGTTCTATTTTCATTCATGTCAAGGACACCCTTATATACAGAACCAAAACTACCCACGCCGATCAGATTCGTTGTGGCGAAACCATCTGTAGCTTTATGCAGACTATGGTAAGACACTTGTAGTTGGAAATCATCAGCTGGAATTGTATCTGGTTTCCCTTTCTTTTTTATCCAGAAGATCAGCAAGCAGGAAGCAATGCAAGTCAGAAAACCCAGGCTGGAGATTGTAGATATGACAATCTTCAACTTGTGACTCAATACCTTCTTATGTTGTTTGAAACTGCAAGAAGGAAGTTGAAGTTCAGCCAGGCCGCCGCAAAGTTTTCTATTTCCATCGAGTAAAATGATGCTGGCATTCTTGAAGACTCCACCTAGTGGCACTTCGTCCTCGAAATCGTTGTAAGATAGATTCAAAAGCTGCAGTTCCTTAATATCTTCAAGAAACTTTGGAATTTGACCTGACAGGTTATTGCTTGATACATCCAATATCCGAATACCTTTTAATGATTGAATAGAAGAAGGAATTGTTCCTTGCAGGAGATTTCCTTGCAAGTGCAGTTCCTCCATTGCCACACAACTACCCAGACTGTCCGGAATCTCTTCTGATAACGCATTATGAGAGAGATCCAAATCCTCTAAGTTCCTTAGACTCCCCACTTCGACCGGGATGGCACCGATGAAATGGTTGTAAGACAAGTTGAGGAGACGAGACAAGGAAGATATACTCATGATCTGTGAGGGAATGACGCCACTGAGATTGTTGTCAGAAATGTCCAGAGTTACCAGATTTCGACAGTTCTCGATTCCAGCAGGAATTCCTCCCTGCAGATGATTGTTACCAAGATACAATCCCAACAGTTTGGTTAAGTTCCCAATGGACGATGGAATGGATCCTGAAATGGTATTGTAACTCAACTGTAACCGTTGCAGAGCTTGCAATTTCCCTATGGTAAGTGGGATTGTACCTGAGAAGTTGTTGTATGTTGCATCTAGCCATTGCAGGCTAACAAGGTTCTGTATCTCAGCCGGAATGCTTCCTGATAATCGATTCCCTTTGAGACTTAGAACCTCCAGGTCGGTCGACAAGTTGGCAACTTGCTTCGGCAAGCTGCCTCCAAAGTTGTTGTAATGGATGAGCAGCCACTGCAAGCTACTGGCATTGGTCAAGGAACACATGAAGCTCAGGTCATTCGCCTCCCCGCTTCCAAGTGAGTTGTTGAAGATCGAAAGCCACATCAGGTTGCGAGAGCTTTCCATACCAGGCATGGTCCCTGTAAAATTGTTATTTGGCAGTTGAAGAACCACCAAGCTTGAAGCATTGGACAAGGAAGGTGGAAGTGTACCGGTAAACCGGTTATACGCCACATCTAAGGTTTGAAGATTCGGAAGTGATGTCCCCAAGTTTCTTGGAAGATTGCCATGGAGTTGGTTGTATGAAAAGTACACATCCGTGAGAGAAGATAGATTGAAAAAGGAAGCAGGGATTTCACCGGTCAAGTTGTTTAACACCAAATCTAGAAAATGAAGCCTCTTCAATCCGCCGAGAGGGGCAAGAACAGTACTCCCGCTGAAATGGTTCTCCCCTGCTCGGAGGATTTGTAGAGACGACAAGTTGCCGAAAGAAGGAGGGATGCTTCCCGTTAGATAGTTTTTCGTGACGAAAAGTACTCGAAGCTTGTTCAGACCTCCAATCTGCCATGGCAGCTGCCCCACCAGCTTGTTATTTGCAGCACTGAATTCGGCGAGAGCAGAGCATCCTGAGATGTTGGACAGGATCTCCCCGCGCAGCGAGTTGTTCGTGAGCTGCAGGTGCTGCAGCCTGTGGAGGCGGCCGATCTCAAGAGGGATCCCTTCAATGAAGCTGTTGTTGGTGAGGTCCAGCTCCTTCAGGAAGCTGAGGTTGCCGATGTGTGGCGAAATGGAGCCATAGAGCATTCGAGAAGACAGTCTCAGGACAGCAACTCTGCCGCCAACCTGTCTTCTCGAACAGGACACGCCATGCCATTCGCAGAAGTGGGTGGAATCGTTCCACGAGCTCAGTGCTCCCAATGGGTCACTAGAGATCATGGACTTGAACTCCAGCAACGCCATACGATCTGTCTCGTTACTCCGAATCCCAGAGGCAGCAGTTGCAGTAGTAAGGAAGATCAACCACGACTGAAGAACTGCTACTGCTACTGCTGCAGAAAATACTCGCCAAGTTCTTGATGAAGAACTCATCTTGGTTAGTTGACACTCACTCTGTCTCATCTTGGGATTTCATTGGTTTTCCATATTTTATATGCTCGGCCATGCATTCTCTGGTTAATGGTGGGATCCAGCTTGTTGAAAAACAATGGCGGGGAAGGTCAAATCGGACTCTCAAGGTAGGCAGGTAGCGGTCTATCCCGTCTATCCAAGTCTTCGCAGCCATCAACTGTGTTATGATTGATTTAGTTATTCTATACCAAAGCTTGGATGAGTTGGATCCATGTTCCTCAGAGGTATAGAGACTAGAGAGACTGCGGTTGTTTCAAGGAAGATGAGGATCACCATAACAGGTTTTACATATCGTATTAAATAAGATACAACATGTATTACGTAATGGTTATGTAACAGCTGTAAAATATCATTACGAATGCAGAGATAATGGATGGTTAAATTACAGTCCTGGAAAAGATATTATCTCCAGAGGGATCCCTTCAATGAAGCTTCATTAAATTGCAGTCTGTGGATGCATTTCTCCAATTTTGCAGTTAAACTGTGTTCAATCGTTTCATATTGGTCAAGCTATATACATGTTTGAGTTTCGATAAACAATTTTTTTATCCAACCGCTTGTTCAGAACGGTTTTGTACGGTTGCAGACAAAAAGGAGAGAAGATTCGTCTTGGGCTAAGAAGCATAGAAACCGCGGGAAATTTAAGAGACGGCAGCTAATTACAGTTTAGTCCCTCAAGAAGATAATATGACCACTTCGATCTCAATAAAATGTAAGCACGGAGGTTTGGCGCCAACTAAAATTGCCGAAACTTTTATTCTTGGGAGTTGGCGCCATTTTAGTTTCCCGCTTCCCCATTACTCCTGAGGCTTCCTCTCCAATCTTCTTCCCCATTAGAAAAACCCTAAAAAACAAAATTCACTCTCATCTTTCTCTTCCTCCCCTTCGCTATCAATCAGTCTCTTTAGTCTCATTCTCCGGCCCCATACTTCCCGGCGAACTAACTTATTGAACAAGAAGAAGAAGTGTACGTGCTCTGGCGGCGGCAGCTAGATGTTTTACTCGCAGACGTTTTTGGCTCGAAAGGGTCCGCTGGGTACGGTCTGGTGCGCCGCTCACCTTCAGCACAGGCTCAAGAAATCTCATTACACTTCCACCGATATCAAAGCCGTCGTCGGTAAATCATCTCTCTTCCGTCTGCAAATCCTTTTTTGTTTTTTTCCTTCTTCGTCGTTGAATAAAGTTCATTACTTTGCCTTTGTTTCTCGATTTCCCGGGGTAAAAGAATCTTACTTTGTATGATTCTAATTGTTGGGGTTTGTGGACTGTAGACCACATAATGTGCCCAGAGGTGCCGATTGCGCTTCGGATGTCAGGCCACCTCTTGCTAGGGGTTGCTAGGATCTACTCCAAGAAAGTGGATTATCTTTTCCAGGACTGTAATTTAATGAAGCTTAGTTTGAGAAATGCCTTCACCATCACAGTAGACATCAATCTGCCAGAGAATGCCAAAACAGCCAAGCCGGATGCTGTCACTTTGCCCCAAACATTTGACCTAGATACGCTGGAGATCGATGATGACATCCACAATATTTATGGGTAATGATTGAAATTTTTAACAAGTTTCAAACTTTCTCCATTTTCCATTGTCTTGGTTTCTCTTCTTGATTGTTTTTTTTTTTTTGGATAGGTCTCCTGATAGCCATTGCAAAACACGAGAGGAGATCACCCTGGATGATCAGATCCCTACAGGGAGAGAGCCGTTTGTTGCTATAACTTTTGACGAGGTTAGTTGTTTTTGTTCTAGAAAACTGTTTGTGTCGGTCTGCACTAGAGTTGCTCTGAGTGATGAACAATTCATGCTTCTGCACAGGACATCACAATGGATGATACTTCGCAACAAGACCTGGCTCGTGATTTGGGAGTTAGACCAGTAGTGGAAGAGTATGCCTCCTAATTGTATTTGGGAAGTCATGTTACTTTGTTTTAGCAATGAATGTGGTTAGTCATTCTGATGCCTGATTTTCTGCAATTCTCAGCTCCGATCGTGATGAAAACAACCACAGAGGAGGTGGTCCAAGCAATGACACAGAAGTGCTTACTGAACCTGCAGAATTTGGGGATGTCGGTCCAAGCAATGATACAGAAATGCTCACTGAACCTGTAGAGTTTGGGGATGTTGGTCCAAGCAATCAGACCGAAGTGCCCACTCAAGCAACAGGATTAGAGGATCCTGGGCCGAACAATCAGACAGAAGTGCTCACCGGATCAGCAGCAGCATCACAGGGCACTGACTCAAGGGATCATACTGTGATGGATGATGTACTTACTGAGAATGTGGAACCTGGTCAAGTTGAAAAAATTCGTGATGCTCGTGATTCTAGTCCAAGAAGAGCACCACTTGTGTCTCCGGAAATGGAAAAGGATGATGCTGCTGATCGAAACCGGATTCCTGAAAAAGATTTGCTTGAGAGTGGGATTAATATTCGGATTCCAGAAGAACCTTCCTCTTCTGGGGTACACTCTTTTCGACTTAGGCCACATTCAGAACCTCCTACCTCTGCTGTCTCTGGAGGATCGGGACTTTTCCTTGATGAAAATATGTCCCCTGGTGAGTGTCCCTTAATGAAATGTTTAGCCTGAGAGATATATATTGTACGGTTGGAATGATCAACCAGCTCATTTTTTGGCTGTTTCAGGCCAAGCAACACCTGGACTTGCTATGGTTATTGCACCTTCACCTGTTCAGCAACCACAGCGGAGGGCCAGAAGGAGAAATTATTTCTTCGATCACGCCACAGTATTGACTAACAAGTACTGTTCTTACTCTCATCTTCGTCCTTTTCTCCCCCATGCTTTTGTACCTTACTGGTTTTGTTTACTCATAAGAAAGATTAACTTTGTAGGTTTGTAAAGAAGGGTTTGAATGATTGTTCTGATTTGTTGCGCAAAAAGAGGGCTCCACCTTCTGCTTTGAGCGTCTGGAAGCTGAACAAGAAATCAAGGAAGGAACAAGTTTTTCATGAGCCATTAATAACAGGTAAAAAATGGTTTTCCATTACTGAGCTGGCTATTTGTGTAATTTGAAGCTTGTGGAAATTTATTCTACTTACACCATTGGTGCTTTATATTGTTATTCAGGCTTGTCCCCAGATATAAGTACCTACTTTGCCGCGGACCATAGCTTTGCTAATCGTCATCCAATTCCTCAACTGGAAGACATTGCTGAGCCTAGTGGTCCTTCATCTCCTATTCAATCAACTGCTGTAGATGTCAATCCAGAGCCTACAGTTCCAAATTCTCCTCCTGTGATTCAACCCATCTCGCCTAGAAATGTCCATTCTCAGTCTAAAGCTCCCTCAGTTGATCCCACCACTACCACCGTGGAGCCCACTAATGGGAAGTCCGCAAACCCAGAGGCTAATGATACTGATACGGGCATGGATATGGATATTGATATTGACATTGAACGTGTTCGGGATGATGGAGGAGGTCACCACAGTAACGATGATTTTCTAAATGAATTTTCGATGAATTCTCCTGTTCAATATGGGCCTTTTCCTAGACAAGATGCCTCGACTCCCAGTCCAAAGCATGTGCATTCAACCACAGTCCGTGATGGGGCAAGAAACACAGGTGCAAGTGACATGCTGCATACTGCAACAGACTTTGCTGCCTCCACTAGCACATTCAGTTCAGGGTTGAGGACTCCAAGAATGTTTGGAGAGGACACTCAGCTCTCAAATATTCTTGAAGTGATGGATAGCGCGGAATCAGAAGTAAGCATCAAGCAGCCTCAAACTGGACTTTCAGCTTTCAGTGTCGTGTATATTTATAACTCTTCTTTATTCCTTTTGCAGGGCCGTTATTCTGGTGGGGGAGATAGCACGCCTGCTCCTGGTGAGCTACTTGTTCTGGAATTCCCTGTTCATTACCTTGCATGGATGATGTTTGGTTTGTTGTTTTTTTTTTTTTTTTTGACGTTCTTAATGTTGATTACAGGGTTTTATAAGGTAGGCAGTCAAGGAGTTCACCAATTGTCTGGTAGAACAAGGTACCACACACAGTTATCCCTTTTGATTATGAGTTATTTTAATTGCATCTTCTTCACCTAGAGCAGAATTTCTTAAGATGGTACCTGTCTGGGGTTTTGGTCTTATAGGGCTGTGGCTCAGTACTTGGAAAGACAATCTCCTAATACTCCAACCTTGGGAGAAGATCAAACCAGAGATATCAGTCTCAACAAGATCCTAGAAGGGAAGACCAGGACGGTGTGTGCCCGAATGTTCTTTGAGACTCTGGTAAGCCTCTTCAAAACTGCTTCCTTTTTTCAAGCTTAAGTTCTGGTTATAGCACTGAACGTTACCTCATTGACAATGGATGGGTTCTTCTCTGCAGGTTCTGAAGAGCCATGGAGTCGTTGATGTCGAACGAGAGAAGGAACAGGGCCGTGTTCATCTGAAGTTTGATGTGGAACAAGAGGAGCCCTATGGCGACGTTCATTTGAAGCTGACTCGTTTAGCAACATAACATATCAGTAGTAGTGCATATATGAGGTATTAATTAGGTCATGAACCATGATTTTGAGGTCCAGGTTTGTGATTATGAAGTATGATATTAGGTTTTGGTAGAAGTAGGACTAGTTAGTTAAGTTATAGAGGGATAGTGTTCAGTTACAGGCAGAAGGATGAGCAGAGTCCATCCATATGGTTGCTTGATTGTATACAAAGATAATTGACCAGTAAAACTAAACCAGCTGTTGATCTTTGTTTCTTGAGTCTAACAACCATACATAAAGATATTTAGTTTTAGAGCTGAAAAGCATGCCAGCTCTTTCGTCCTTGAGCTGCAGACACAGAGAGGAATAAAATACTTTTCTTAGTTCTTGGAGGAAGAAGTCGCATATGGATGATTGAAAGAAGACCATGGAAGAAAAGCATATAACAACGGTGCACAATCAAGAAAAAGGGTGACAAGAGGATTCCACCAGGGGAAAGCAAGAAGAAAGCAAGGTCGAGAGAGATGAAACAGTCTCTCCGAAGAGATAAAAAGTGAATTCTCTAGAAACTTAAGAGAGAATCATGAGATTTTCTTTCTGCACTGCTTCCTTTAGCTGGGAATGGGATCCCCCCACCAGGGGAAGAAAACAGGGGAAACCAAGGTTTAGGGAGACGGGGAATTCCTTGCTTCCTTTCGGTAGATGGGATTTGGGATCCAGAAAAGCAATGCATTTTATTTTCGGGGAAAGCTTCTCTTGGTATTTCATCTCGCAATCTCTTTCTCACCCTCACCTCACATTTCCTTCTCTTTTCCAAGCTCCCCTGCATTCCTCTGTTTTTTCACTCACAAAGAAATGGCTGATATCATTCTGGGCCCTGCAGTTGAACTAATCCTTGGCAAGTTGGGCAGATTTGCATCCGATCAGGTCCGACTTCTTTGGACTCTCAAACCCGAGATACTGAAACTCGGGGACACTGTTGCGGCAATCCAGGCTGTGCTTCTCGACGCAGAGAAGAAGCAGTCCCACAACCACCAAGTCAAACTCTGGCTCAAGAGGATCTCCGACGTTATGTACGATGCTGAAGATCTGCTTGACGATTTCTCCACCGAGGCTGCGCTCCAGAAGCAAGCAGTGACTCACTGGAGGACGGGGATGGCATGCTATCCGATCTCTTCCCTTCCCAAGCAGTTGATTTATCATTTTAAGATGGCTCGTGATTTAAAGGCGATTCGAGAGAAGCTTGATGTCATATCAAAAGAGAAGGAGGCTTTCAAGTTGGAAATTGGCTTCGGAGTAAAAGCTCTTCCTTCTTTCAGGGAGACGGATGCATGCCCACCCACGATTGTGATTGGGAGGGAAGATGACAGGAAAAACATCATTGTGCGACTGCTGAATCGCAACCCAGAAGCCAGCATTTCAGTCGTTCCCATTGTTGGGATGGGTGGGCTGGGGAAAACCACCCTTGCTCAGCTCGTATTTGACGACAAACAAGTTCGAGATTACTTCGATGTAAAAGCTTGGGTCTATGTTTCACAGAGCTTTGATATCAAAATGATTCTCCTAAAAATGTTGGAATCCATAACTCGTCAGAAAGTGGGGGATCTCATGTTGGATGTTTTACAAGCTCAACTCCGGGAGAAAATCCAAGGCAAGAGGTACTTATTTGTATTGGATGATGTTTGGGAGGAGAACAGGCGCAGTTGGGAGAATCTGGGAAATCATTTGGCGTTCGGTGCTCTTGGAAGCAAAGTACTGGTGACTACTCGATCCACTAGAGTGGCAAACTTTGCTGGTGGAGCTCTGAAGTCGAGAACAAGTACCAGTAGCAGCATTGTGGAACCATATTTCTTGGAAGGCTTGTCAGAAGGTGAGAGTTGGCAAATATTGCAGGCGAAGTCCCTCCCAAGACAGATCCCAGCAGAAGTACAACATATTGGCAAACAAATACTAAGGCAATGTCGTGGAGTTCCTCTTGCTGTGAGCACCATAGCTGGTGTGTTAGCAGATTCGACTGATCCAAAGATGGAGTGGCCATCTTTTCTAGAAAAGGGACTTTCTAGCATCATGAATGAAGGAGGGGAAGTTTCTATTATGGCCACACTACAAGTCAGCTTCAATCTTCTCCCCTCTCATATGAAACATTGTTTTACTTATTGTGGATTGTTTGAAAAGGGGTTTCGATTTGGGATTCCAATGTTGGTTCGATTTTGGGTCGCGCAAAGGTACATTGAGTCGGAAGATATAGGCTATGATTACTTTAAAACGCTGTGGTGGAGGTCATTTTTCCAGGAGGTGGAGATGGACGAGTTAGGGAACTTGTCGACGTGCAGAATGCACGATCTCATGCATGACTTGGCTGATTCTATAGCCGGAGATAATATAAAAAGAAGCACAAGTTCAAGTGTTCTACAAAATGTTCCTTCAAAGGCTCGTCATATATGCATAACTCGTGGAGGTTATGATAATCCAAGACAAGAGGACAGTGATGGTGGTGATGAGCTTGGAAGCATGAGTAAGGTACGAACTCTAATATGTTTCGAATCTCTTTCAAACGAAGAACTTGAACAAATCATCAACAACTTCTTACGCTTGCGTGTATTGGTGATATGTTCACATGATGAAAGTGCTTATACGTCGTTGAAACTTGTTGGAAAGCTGAAGCATTTAAGATATCTTGGTATGTTGGGTTTCCACAAAATGAAAAATCTTCCAGACTCAATTGTTAACTTGGTTAATCTGCAAGTTCTTAACCTCATCGGTGGCGAGTCACTGCAAGAACTACCAAGGGGCATTAAGAAGCTTGTTAATCTGAAGCATCTTGATCTCGATCGAACAAGTTGGAAAAATTTGAGACATATTCCAAAAGGGATTGGCGAGTTGAAGTTTCTCCAAACCCTACCAATCTTTGTAGTGGGGAAAAGAAGTAGTTGTAGTGGTAATGGGGAGATTGCCGGTGCAGAATTGAACGAGTTGGAAGGGTTGAATGCATTGTGTGGAGAGTTGATTATCACAGGCCTGGGAAATGTCCACTCTCTAAAGAAAAGTGTTGGGCGTGTGACTCGGGCCTAGCCACGTCAGGGAGTGGGCGCGACTGGATGGACTCCGACATAGCAGCGCGAAGACCCCGAGCGCGACACCTCATCGTGGTCAACCATGTCCTGGCGCGAAGAGTTTGTGCGCGATACGAGTTACAGGCGCCGAGGAAGAGCATAGCGCAGGCCAAGCCAAGAGAGGAGGGAAGCGTAGCTTTACTCCCCAGGAAGTGGTCACATCAAGACCAGTGGCAAGTCTCTGACACGTCCTAGGTAGAGGGATGGCCTGGACAGAGCCTAAAATCCTTAGTATGTGCCAGTGGTCACATCGTTGTATCCCAATTGTCACATCTTGTATCCCCACTTGGGTCAACCACTCACCCACCACAATGAAGCCTATAAATACGGCATTTACTACGGTGGGTGAGGGGATCGCATTTTTCACCACTCTCTCTCTATAACAACTATTTCTCTTTCTAGAAACGGGACTCCCACTCTCACTCAACTTTCTGATCTTTACCCTCTCCGAGCAATCCCAACGCCTGTGTTTCTTCTTGACCCAAACCCTCACTCGGACCTCACTCCTACACTCAGTTAGGTTCAAACAATTGGCGCCCACCGTGGGGCCAAGAAGAAACACTAAAGGAAAATCCCCCGATGGCAGAGCGCAACCCCGACCAACCTGACCAAGCAACACCGATCAAGGCAATGACTGACCCGAGGGTGTTCGCGGAAGCCAGCAACCTCAATGCCGTGCTCATTGAAGAAGAAGAGCCCGAGCTGACGGCAAAAGAAATGAGGGATCTAGTGAGAAAGCAGAACAACGTCATAGCCGACATGCAGAAACAAATGAGCCAAGTTATCGCGCTCATGATGAGCAGGGATAGCGCGCCAACGACAGGTGCGGTAGCGGACGCGCCTCAACGAACCTTCGCGGTAGCGCCACAGCAGGCTTTGGGAGAAACGTCGGGGACAGTCCAGCCACCCCAACACGGGGCGACGGAAATCCCCGCGTGTGAAGCGCCGGGGATCGAGCCACCAGAGCGGGCGGACCTCAGCTTCTTAGAGCAACACCTGTCTCCGCAGTACCGACCCAATCCGCCCAAAAGGGTCCTTCACCAGCCGCTGAGCGCGCAGATAATGGCAGAGAACCTAACAGGGGCGACGCCCGCCCTCCCGACATACAACGGCACGACCGACCCGGAAGACCATGTAAGCACTTTCTGCTTGCGTATGCAACTCCAAACCAACTCCAACGCCGCGCTATGCCGGACCTTCCCGTCGACATTCACCGGCATATGCCTCGACTGGTACAACCGCCTCCCAAATGGAATCATCCGCTCATTCGAGGAGTTCATACTCCTGTTCACAACGAAGTTCGCGTCCCAGAAACGGCGCCCGCTTCACCTCAAGGCCCTGATAGATATCAGGCAAAAGGAAGGAGAAAGCCTGAGAGCTTTCTATGCCAGATGGTCCAGAATAGCAATGGCCGTCCGCGATCTCACCCCCGAAACAGCCGCCCATCACCTCATGGAGGCCACCAATAATATGGAGCTCAAGCGGGCGTTGGCCAAGAGGCCCGTCACGCTGTCAACGGAATTGGAGATGAAGATCGAAAAGGCGATCACGTTGGAGGAAACCCTGGGGGCAGGGTCCGTAAGGCGCTTCGAACCGGCGAAAATGCCGCGAGAAGAACAGGCGCGTCGTCAGCCTCCAGCCACGATCCCACGAGACCACTTGCTGCAAATGCACAGTGGCCCGAAGCGCGCCCCTCCTCCCCCACCAGAGCAGGCGCAACGCGGGCGATCGCCAGACAGGCGCGCGCATAACGCCTACACTCCCCTCAATGACTCAATGAGGAATGTGTTCCATGTCCTTCGCGAGAAGGGTTACAGGATCAACTGGCCTGCCCCGTTGAAATCCCAACCCTACATGCGCGATCCAAATAGGCATTGTGAGTTCCACAGGGCAACGGGGCACCGAACAGAAGAGTGCCGAGACCTGAGGTACGAAATAGAGGGCCTCATACAGAGAGGGCTGCTGGCCGAGTTTGTTCACGTGAAGAAAGAACAAGTTGAGCCCCCACAGCACCCGCCGCCGCCACCACCCCAAGCCGAATATAACGAGGACGCAGGCGCATACATAGTGCGCAAGGAAATTGGGGTGGTGACGGTCGAAGGGGATCGCCCCCAAAAGAAGACCAAACGGGAACGCGCGATGGAGTGCGCGACCACCGACGCGCCGACAAAGTTCAACCTAAGCTTCGACGACGCGGAATTCCCGCAAGGAACCCCATCAGAGGAGCCGCTCATTATCACCGCGCTAATCGCCGCCTGCAAAACCCACCGCCTCCTGGTGGACGGAGGTAGCGCGGCCGACATCCTCTTCCAGAGTACCATTGACAAAATGGACATCGATCGGCGCCTAATCAGGCATGCGCGTGGCAACCTAGTTGGCTTCTCTGGAACTAGAGTCCCGGTCACTGGGTTGGTCACCCTCCCTGTGGTAATTGGCGACCAGGAGCCTCGCGTCTCCAAACAGATAGAGTTCACGATCGTCGATTGTGAATCGGCGCACAATGGCATTCTAGGCCGGCCATTCCTTGCGAAGTTCCTGGCTCTCCCGTCGACGTGCCACCAGAAACTCAAGTTCCCAACACAGAGAGGAATAGGAGAAGCCCGGGGAACGACATGGGAAGATCGCGTTGTGACTCGACAAACCAACATCGTCGACACAAGGGCGGAAGAGCCCCGACCGGAGTCGATGGATTCCGATTTTGAGGTCGCGCTGGACCCAGCCGAGCCGACCAGGAAGATACGCATTTCCACTCACGTCAGCAGTGACGCAATCGAGCCGCTCGTGGCACTGCTGAAGGAGTACAAGGAGCTGTTCGCTTGGTGCACAGAAGACATGCCAGGAGTACCCAGGGAGGTAGCCCAACATAGCCTTGCAGTGCCAGCCAACGCGGAGCCAAGGCAACAAGGGCGGAGGTCCTTCACGGGCGATAAGCTGAAGGCGATAGAAGAGGAGGTAACGCGCCTGCTAGCAGCCGGGTTAATCCGACCCGTAAAATATCCAAAGTGGTTGGCAAATGTGGTATTGGTCAAGAAATCATCAGGAGCCTGGCGGATGTGCGTCGACTACACCACGATCAACAGAGTATGCCCAGGAGACCCTTACCCACTGCCGCGCATCGACCAACTGATCGACGCAACCGCAGATCACGAGACGTTGTCCTTCCTCGACATGTTCTCCGGGTACCACCAGATCCCCATGTCCGTGGAAGACGAAGAAAAGACGGCGTTCATGACGCCGTTTGGGAACTTCTGCTTTGTGGGGATGCCGTTCGGGTTAAAGAACGCGGGCGCGACATATCAGAGAATGATCGACACGGTCTTCTCGCAACAGATCGGGCGGAACATCGAGGCGTATGTAGACGACCTCATCGTCAAAACGAAGGCCGGCAAGTCGCACCTGCAGGACTTGCGTGAGACTTTCGAAGCTCTCCGTCAACACAGCCTCCGCCTCAACCCACTCAAGTGCGTTTTCGGAGCGGAAGCGGGGAAGTTCCTCGGGTTCATGATAACTAAACGCGGCATAGAGGTCGACCCGAAGCAAATCACCGCAGTCCAACAGCTGCGGGCGCCTCGGAACGCGCTGGAAATCCAGTCTCTGAATGGCAAAATAGCAGCGTTGGGGAGGTTCATACCGCGATCTGCTGACAAGTGCGCGCCCTTCTTCCAAACGCTCAAGAACGGGGCGCGCTTCACATGGACTCCAGAATGCGAGGCAGCGTTCCAAGAGCTAAAGGCGATCTGCTGACGTGATAGACTTCTGCGATGAGGTGGGGACCATTGCAAGATTCGCATCGGTCGCTTACCCCCAAGCCAACGGCCAAGCCGAGTCCTCCAACAAGGCGATCCTACATGGCCTCCACACTCGCCTGAATGAGGCCAAGGGCAATTGGGCGGACGAGCTACACACGGTGCTATGGGCGCACCGCACTACATACAAAGTGGCAACGGGCGAAACCCCCTTCGCCCTCACGTATGGCACTGACGCGGTGATCCCCATCGAGACAACAATACCGACCTACCGAATCACCGGGTACAGCGAGGAAGCAAACGACGAGGCACGCCTACTAGAGCTCGAATTGTCTCAAGAAAGGCGCGAGTTGGCAGCCATCAGGCTAGCTGCAATGAAAGAACAGGTAGCCAAGTACCACAACGCGAAGCTGGTCCCCCACAAGTTGATCCTGGGCGACCAAGTATTGCGGCGGAACTTCCGCCCCGACCCCAAGCACGGGAAGCTCGCCTCAACGTGGGAAGGTCCTTACCTAATCCGCGAAGTGGTGGGCGCCAACACATTCAAACTCAGCGAATTGGGGGGCAACAAGGTTCCAAGAACATGGAACGCACAGAATCTGAGGAAGTACCATCGTGCCGGTTAGCGTGTAGCACGTTTGTAACAGCGCATTAGCGCAATAAATAAAAGGACATGGTTCGAAAGAACAAAAATTAGCAATAGTCCAGCACTATTCGCGCAAAAGGACATGGTTCGAAAGAACAAAAATTAGCAATAGTCTAGCACTATTCGCGCAAAAGGACATGGTTCGAAAGAACAAAAATTAGCAATAGTCCAGCACTATTCGCGCAAAAGGACATGGTTCGAAAGAACAAAAATTAGCAATAGTCCAGCACTATTCGCGCAAAAGGACATGGTTCGAAAGAACAAAAATTAGCAATAGTCCAACACTATTCGCGCAAAAGGACATGGTTCGAAAGAACAAAAAATTAGTATGAGTCCAGCACTCTGCGCTCAGTTCCACGGAACAAAACTTAGCAATAGTCCAGCACTATTCGCGCAAAAGGACATGGTTCGAAAGGGCAAAAATTAGCAATAGCCCAGCGCTATTCGCGCCTAGTTCGAAGGAACAAAGATGAGCACCCAGCTCGCACATCCTCCGCGCGAGAGGACAGCGAAAGCAGCGGTTAGTCCAGTACTACTCGCGCCTAATCCGAAAGAGCGAAGAGCTAA